CCTGCTCACGCTGGAGGGGAAATCCTGGGTCACTTCTGGTCACTTGTGCCTAGCCCCACCTCAAAAACCTTCGGATACCCAAGAGAACAGACCACAACTTGCACAGCCAGCTCTGCTGCTTTGCCCTGCCAGCAACACCCCCCTGCAGCTGTGAGCAGCAGGGTCTTGCTCCTGTCCCTGCCCTCCCACACCGCCCAGCTCCAGCGAGCCCAGCACAGCTTAATGACTCGATCTGTGTTCAGCAACAACACCACATTCTTCAGTGTAGAAATCATTAACATCTGCACAGCTTATGCATGGCCTGTCCAGGACAAACCCCTCCAGGGGTTAGTGGATGGAGGGCTGAGGCTGTTCCCTACCCTGGGCATGTGTTCCTCACTGTTGTTCTCCATGCTCATGGGGAAGACAGGAGTGGGTCACTAAGAGATGAGGATTTCTGGCACTGGTAGTGCTGGGGCAGCATTGCTTGTGATTAATGAGACCATCTACCCAATGAAGCCCCACCTGCAGGCACTAAGACACCAGGACTGCACGAGGTCCACAAGCCCAACAGTAAGCCAAATGCTCTCCAGCCTCCGGAGCACACTCATTCCTTCCAGAAGGAAGGCTGAATCCAGCTATCCTCAGGTGTGATGAACTGTGGCAGTCCAGCTGCTGGGCAAGCTCCAGCAAAGACACAGCCCCAAACTCATGCCTGGTTCTGCTGCCACAGCCAGCCTTGTGTGCTGATCACTGTCAGTCACGCTGATCCTGCTCCTGTGCTCTGAGTCCCTCCAGCCCACACGCCTGGAGCTGCTTCCTCCTTCCTCACTGGGACAGGGGAGCTCAGACCTGCCCAGGGAGTCCTCAAACCTTCACTGCCAGTTAACCACTGCTATGGCAAGTCTTTTACCTGCAGTTGAACTAAGGTTTTGTAGGAAGCCCACTAGGACAGAAGTGACTGCCATCCTGTCCTCCCACCTCGTGAACCACAGACAGAGACCATGGCCACTAAACCAGTGTGACACTGACTTCCCTCATCACCATGGTCACCAACTCAAATTGAGAGCTGTGGTGAAAAGTGGCATTCCCAGTTCCTTCTTTTGCTCTCCTTTGCCAACTCAGTTTCATTTATCTCAGTTATTTCTACCCAGGGGTATCATTTACCAGCCCAACACAAAGGCCCCAATTGAGCTCTGAGACTTGGGCCCAGGCAGCAGCAGAAGTCACCAGAGACTGGAGTAGTGTTACCTGCTGCCATCGCCACTGAAGAGCCTCTGGGGAAGGCAAACATCACTGAAAAACAACACAAGGTCAAAGCACCTCCTGACCACCAGGTCATAGCTTCACTCCTGCCCTGCAGGAGCAGCAAACAGCTTCCGCCTACCAGCAGGACAGAGTGTGTGAAAGCAGAGCACAGCATCTCTCTGAGAGCAAGAAGCAGCACAGAAATGGTGAAGACCAAAGGGAATGCTACATCCATACGTGATGGCTGAGGGCCACGTGCCCAGGAGCCCACCAGCCCCTGGCAGCAAGGTACAAGAGCAGGACAGGTGACATTGCACACATCTGTGCAACCCCTTGAGTTTCAACCTGAGGGGGACTGGATAGACCACCAGCATCCCAGCTCTGCTCCAGGTGGAAGGAAGCAATAGGGGGGTGTATTTGAAAGGCATTCCACCCTCCACATTGTATGGGAGCTGGGCTGTGACTGCGATAAGGCAAACACTCACAATAGCACACAGGAATTCAGTCCCCAGGGCCTGTGACTCAGAGTGGCTGAAGTTCCTCCTAGAGCCCTTTGCTAAAGTTCCCATTTTAAGGGGCATGTTCTATTAATAAGAACTGCCTAATAAGCCTCTCCCCCGCTCCTGCCCTGAGCAGCCTTTCTTGAGCTGTTGAGAGACTTTTCTAAGCCAATAACCTCAGCCACACAAGTCCCAGCTACCTGCAAGGCAACCTGAGCAAAAACAGATTCTTCCTTGCTCCCCAAAAAGGTGACCCCACCTGGCAGGCCAAGCTCTTACTGGGATATTTAAGTGCTCAATGCCAGCTGCCCTGCCTTCTGGTGCTGGGAAGGGGCTGAGGGATGCTCCTGCCTGCCCTGGATGAAAGAAGTGGGCACCTGCTCTCTAACAGGCTGAATTTCTTCCCCACAGCCCAGCGTATTAGTGGGTAAAACTAGGTTGAAACTAATCTGTGCTGGATTAGACTTGCCACCTTGATGCACGAGGCTGAACAATGTGATAGCGTTCCCCAGGAAGAGGGGAACAGGCAAGAGGGGAGCCCAGAGGAGCATTTCAAGCTGGAAGAGAGAAGTCAGTACTAAGACTCAGCTGTCCTTCAGCAGCACATGTGCACTCAGGATGCTGCCTGCCAGACCCTTATCCCAGTGAGAGCTGCAGGGAAGAAACCAGCCAGGAAAACAGGGCTGGGAGGGAGCTAATTGTTAGGATGAGACAATGAGATTAAGCCTGACAGGAATTTGGCCTGATTGGTTTTATTAGGAGTACTTGACTGTTTTACAGCCCTGGGGCTCTTCAGGTCTTGGGAAACCCCCTCTCTGGCTCCAGCCACAATATCAGCCCAAGTTTCTATCAGCTCTGTGACGGAGAGGTGTGCAAATGTTCACTGCACTCCCCCCACTGCCACGCAGAGCTGGCAGAGAGACCAAAGCAGGGCAGCATGGGGGCTGCTGCCCTGAGCACGATGGCTTCTCAGGATCCACGGGCAGCTGCTACCCATGCTATCTGCAGCTTGGTTTTGAGCTGCTCAAACCCCCTCTCCCAGCACTGAGCCGACACACAGGACAGCAAGGATGCAAACAAGCAGCTCCATCAGCAGTTATGTAGCTTGTTTTGGTTTTTGTCATACAAACCTCACCCAAAGGAAAAGCCAGAAGTGATGGCAGCTTAGGGGACTGATAGGAGCTTCTGTCCTATGTGTGGGAGAAGGAAGATGCCCCAGCCCCGGAACACAGCAGTGGCACACCAGCAGCATCCCAGGAAGCACAACTTCCCAGACTCAGTCCTACAGCTCCCACCAGCTGAAAGATCACATATCCATCCTGTGCCTGAGTGATGCTGGAGGGTGGTTCTGGAGCAGCAGAAACTGCAGCAGTAAGTACAACACAGTCCCTTCATCCTCAACCTAAGGGCCAACACCACCTTGGCTAGGGGAGATACCTTAGGCCCACCTATGCACCTTCTTGGAGCAGAGTATGCCATGTCTGCCTTCCAAGGGCTCCTTTTTAGCCAAGTGCTCTTATTCTACACCTTAATCCTGCAGCACCTCTTTTTCCACTCTTTTTCCACAGCACACCCTAGTTTCTAATTAATTGAATTATTTCTAATGACTTAATTCCCTCTCCAGTGACCTACATAAACTTCACCTCCACTGTCTCACTGCTGTCTGGTGGAACATATTGGCACTTTTCACAGCTCAGGCAGTGTGAGGGCAAGGTGAGCCACCATCTCTTCTGGGCTCTCATCTTGTGCAGTGATTTGACTTCTCCACCTGTAACACTAAGGTGCCACTGGCTATAGGAGCAGGCAACCACCAAACCCACCTGGAAACTACGCTAAAAATCCCAGCGCTGATTGTTTCAAGGTTAAACCCTTCTTTTCTCCCTCAGGACCGCTCTTAGCCGGGAGGGATGCCAAGAGAACTGCCCCTGCCGCCATGCCAAGCAAGGGACAGGGTAAGCCTGACGCTCTGGGGAAAGGACCTTGCCTGACCCTGGCATGAAGGGCACGAAGCCCAGTGCACTTTGCACTAATCCAGGAGCTGCCATTCCCCCTGCCCAAGGCTTGGGGCATGTCCAGCCATCCTGGGCTACTTATTCATCACCCGCTGTAGTGAAAAGCTAAAAAGGCTGGAGTCAGCTCTGAGCAGCAGCTCCTCATTCCGGGAAGAAGTCGAGGAAGAAGCTGAAGTGCTCAATACAGTGGAGGGGAGGTTGAAGTCCTCCAGGAGAACAATAGCCCCTGTTCTTGCTGGAGCAAGTTCCCAAGGGGACTTTCACGGCAGCTGGTCCCCAGGGCACCCACCGGCCCCGCTCGGATCTGCCGGGGTGCGGGCGCTGCGGGGAAAGAGCCGCCTGCGAGGGCAGCACCAAGGGCGGCGGGGATGGAGCACGAGCCCCGCAGAGCCCCCCTGCCTCCTCTGGCCGCATCCCCCTCTCCAAAGGGGCTCAGGCAAAGGGGGCCGCAGCTCCCCTTACACCCACCGCCCTCCTCCTCCTCCTCCCCGGGGCAGCCCCCTCCCCTCCCGGCCGCCCCCAGCCCGTTCCCCCGCCGGGCTGGGGTCGGCCCGGGGGACGGCCCCCGCCGCACCTTGTTGATCTCCTCCAGCCGCCCGTCCTGCGGGGCTCTCCGCAGCCCCCCGCCGCTCGGCCGGCGCGGAGCCGCCATCGCACCGAGCCGCCCCGCGCCCGCCGCCGCCTTAAATAGGGGCGGGCAGGGCCGGGCCGGGCCCTCCGCCCCCCGCCCTTAACCCCTTCCTGGCCGAGCCTGCCCCGCGCCGGGAGGGCAGCGCGGACCCGCGGGGGGCTCGATGTACCGAGCGCGGTGGGGAGGCACCGCCGCCCGCGGGCTCCCCGCGGCGGGGAAGGGACCGGCCCCCTCTGCCCATCGGGCATCGCTCCGCAGCCGCCCCGGGATGGGCATCCCCGCGCCGCGGCTCCCCGCCGGTACCGGCGGCGGGTCCGCGGGTGCCCCGTGGGGCGATACGCTTCCAGCTGCTGGATAGACCCTGGAGCGCGAGCAGCGGGAAGAGGGATGGACCGAGGGACGGCCACAGCCGGGCTGATGCGTGTCCCGACCTGGAGCTGCTGTGGCGATCGCCCCCGCGATCTCAGCCTGACACCTTATGTTAGGAACATGTACTAAAGTGGTGTTTAGCAGGAGCTGTCAGACGTTCGCTCCTCACCACTCCAAATTCAGCTGCATTTCAGCCCCTGCTCTTTCAAAGCAGGTACAGCGTTTGCCCTCTCACTTTCGCATGCCCTGGTCGGGCAGCTGTGTGTTATATTAAGGATTTTTAATGGATACGGCTCTAGGCAGGTGTTGCCAGCTAAAAACACAGAATTCCGGGGAGAGCAGGAGGGAGCGTGAACATCTTCAGCAGCAGGCACACGGCAGAGGCTTGACATTTCTGTAACAGCAGCAAATTTGTGTGTTCACCGGAGATGTACAATTGTCCTCCCAGGGAGACAGTAAGTGGCTGTGGCTCCCTGCCTCTGGCCGAGCCGGATCACAGTGTGCTCTCACTGCTCTATGGTTATGCTTTCCCAGAGCTGCTCTTGGGCAGAGGGAGGGGAGGCCCTGCCATTACACCCCTGCTGCTCTGGCACCCCACTCCTTGGGCAGCTTTTGTGCAGAATTATGAAGGCAAAGGGTTTGTTCTCAGTACGAAAATCCCATGTCCCTTTCAGGCCACTGGACACACTGAAGATGTTGCTGGGGGAATTCAACATCTATGGCAGCAATTTTACATAAATTACACAAGACTTTAGCAAACCTGATTTCCAGCACTGTGAGCAGAAAAAACACAGGTAAAACTGGTTAAAAAGTGAAACTTGCTCCAGCCTGGGGACTTGGTTTTGGTCTTATGGGAATGACTTCATCTACCTGGAGTCAGGGCACAGCCAGCACAGGGTGGGCTGAGCCAGGACCTGCCTGCGTGGCCACAGAGCCCAGCCCTCATGGGAGCACAGGGGAACACACACGCCTTTCCTTTAAAGGCAATACAGCCACCGACCTCTGCCACCTCGTGGGAGTGACACTGGCAGGAGCTGGTGTCCAGCTGTTCCCCATCCAGCCTGTGCTGGCTGCACAGCCTGGTGCCACTAGCCAGCTCCTCCCAGTGGGGAGGGGGCGCAGGTGCTGATGTGGGGCTGTGGGTGATGCAGCTCTCCCACCTCTCAGCCCGGTGCCTGTGCCACCCAGCCCCCGGGATTGCAGATGTCAGGCTGGTTTAAAGCAAGGCCTGGTGGCATCCAGTAAGCCAGGAGGAATGGGACAGGACACAAGGAGCTGTAGGCAACAGCAGTGTTGTGCTACCCTGGAGCAGGGGAACAGCAAGAGCTGACCTGCTCTTACCCTGCAGCAGGCAGAGGATGCCCCGCCTGCCTGCCAGGAGCTGGGTAAGGGTCCAGCTTTGCTTCTGCTTGTTAATCGATCCCTTCCTGCTGCAACCTCCCTTCCCTTAAAAAGCAGACAAGCTGTATGCCCTCCGGTGAGCAGCTCTCTGCCTCGCTTCACCAGGATTCCTCTCTGCACCTCTATGACCACAGCACATGAGCACGATACTGCAAGGCACTGTGCAGCAGGTGAGAGCCTCTCTCATCTCCTGGGGCAGGAGGGACTGCTGGGTGTTACAGCTTGGGTATGTTACATACTTAATAAGCTCTCCCTGCCCAGTGTGCCATGCAGTGGTGGGGAAGGAGAGATGGAGGAAATCTGTGATGATTCTTTGTTCACTCCATGGTGAGAAACCAGCCCTGTGATGGCTCAATATCCTGCACAGAAACGTTGGTGGTCCCTGGTAGCTGGTTGTTCCCCCATCCCAAGGGGAGCTGGTGGCTGGAGTCTTGCTGCAGAGCACTCGGAATGCAGAGCCTGAACTGGTAACAGATAAAGACCTGGGCTGTGATACTCTGGAGGGCAGCGTGAGTAGCAGTGGGAGGGATTGATGCTGGTTAACACAGGGTGTCCTTCCCTCTGCCTTTCCCTGTGCAGGGGGGCACAGAGGGGATGGGGCAGCAGCCAGCAACTGGTCACTTCGAGCAGCCCTCGGGGAGGCTCCGCAAAATATCCTCCAGGTTCCGCTTGTCGGCCCGGATCTCAGCCAAGTCACTCTCGAATGCTTGGATCTTCTCCTGCTGCCGGGCTGCCTCCTGCTGCAGCCGGCTGAGCTGGCCGGCCAGGGAGCCTGGCGTGGCCAGGCGCTGCCACAGCCGCTCCAGCTGCACTTGCCCGGCACTCAGCACCGCCTCCACCTCCATGTCCTGCTCCAGGTTTCCTGGACAAGGGGAGAGGACATGAATGAGAGCAGGCAGCTGGGCAGGAGAGTTTCTGGACATACTCCAGGGGCTCAGACCCTTGGCACCAGGCAAGCTATAGGGAGCGGGTGCAGCAGGGCATGGAGGCTTTGCAGCTTCCCAGTGATCACAGATAAGCAAACAGGACTGTGGCTCCAGGCAGGGCCTGGGCACGTCTGTCTTACAAATGGGTGATGTCCACCCTTTTGCAAAATTTCTTGGATGCAAGACTCCTGGAGTACTCAGAAATGTACCCAGATGATCAAAGCGGGAGAAGCTGGAGCAAATCCAACCGGCAACAAGGAGTGAACCCAGCCCAGTACATCCCTCAGCTCCAAAGGGAGCCCTTAACCCAGCCCTGCTCCTTCTGAAGGTGCCAAGGGAGATCAGTGTCCCCACACCAGGCATGAGCACACACATTCATTCTTCATGGGGGTTTTCCTCAAGACATGAACCTTCAAGAAGTTTTGCTGAGACCATGGCTGATCTCAGCCAAAGAGCACTCAGCTCAGCCTGGATGGCTGGTGAGAAGGAGACCCAGCATCAGTGATCAGGAGAGCCCTGGGCCCCCAAGGACCCAGCCCTTCCCCGGGAACCTGCACACCATTCCCACCCGGGTCTCACCGAGGCTGCTCAGCAGGTTGTTCAGGGTCTCGATGTCTGACATGAGTGAGCCCCGGGCTTCCTGGAGACTTTTTGCCATCTCACTCACCTCTGTCCCCACCTTTCAAAAGAAAGAGAAACCCAAATCAGGGACCCTGTTGACCCTTGGCTGGATGGGAAAGGGGATCCCAGGAATATCCCCAAGGCATTGCCCATACTGTGGATCCAAAAAGCTGTGTTGTTCCCTTTGCTTTGGGCTGTGGGCAAAGCTTGTCCAGGCTCCAGAGGACACAACCTGCCCAAGGGCACCCAACTCACCTGGTGTGCTTCCTCCAGGTCTCCCCTGAGCTTCTCAGCCATGTGCTCCTGTCGGGATAGCTCCCGCTGGGTCTCGTTGGCACGCCTGGCAAGCTGTCTGGCGTGCTTGTGGGCCTGTTTGCTCTCCTGCAGCACAGCCCGTGCCCTCTGCAAAGGGATGGAGGTGGGGACAGTCACCTGGGGACATGCAGCCCTGCCTGCAGCAGGCTGGGCTCTGCCTGTGGTGGCTGCCAGCCTGGCCATGCCCAGCAGTTCCCCACACCCCACTCAGACCTTGGCACTCTCCTCAGAGACTTTCTCAGCCTCTCCAGCTGTCCTCTGGGCTCTGATGGAGAGGGACAAGGAGTTTCCCAGTGTCTTCTCTGCCTGTTTAATCTTCCTCTGGGCATCCCCCAAAACCCTGTTCCGCACAGTGGCCATCCTCCTCCTCAGGGCAGCTGGGCCCTTCCGATGCCGCAGCATCTTCCTCATGCCTGTGGGGACAAATTGGCTGTCACCAAACTGTCCTCTTCTCCCCTTGGCACCCAGAGCCAGTGTGGTGAGAGCCAAGCTGTGGCTGGACATGCTCTGACTGGTGTCTTTTACCTTCCAAGCTGGCCAGGAGGGACTTGGCATCAGAGTGCACAGCTTTTCCATGTGAGACAGCCGAGGTGGCCGTGTCACGGGCAGAGCCAGCCCGGTCCCGCAGCTGGGAGAGGAGAGGGAAGGAGTGAGGCTGAGGAATGCTGAGTGAGGAATGCTGAGAAATGTGGGTCCCCGTGAGCCCAAGGGGAGATGTCTCCCAAAACATCCTTTCCCTGGCTGTAGGCACAGTCCCTCCTGTCGCTGGAGCAGCAGGGGTGGGGCTCCCCATGCAAGTGAGCAGCAATTACCTGCTCAAAGCCATCAGTCCTCTGCAGCTCCAGGCGCAATCCAGCTGCCAGTGTGCGGGATGTCTCAACAGCCTGCTGAGCCAACAGCTCCTGGGCTGCTGCTGCCTGCTCCAGCACTGCCAGGTCCTGTGCCAGGGCTCCAGCTTGCACTGGCAGTACCTGCTGTGGGGTCAAGAGTGCCAGAGCTCTATGAGAGCATCTCCCAGCCCAGGAGGCAGCACTGCTCAGGGAGTAGGTTTACCAGCCGTAGCTTGGGCGCTGCTCACCTGCCCCAGAGCAGCCACCTGCAGAAGTTTCTTGGCCATGTCTGCGTTTGCCTGTTGCATGGCTGCCAAAGCTCTCCTCGCCTCTTCCATGCCCACACCCAGCTCCTCCTGGGCCCGTTGGATCTCCTCGTACCTATGTGGACAGGATGCTGCTGTCAGCCCAGGCCCTCTGGTCCCTCAAAGGAGGGAGATCTGGCTCCAGACACAGATGTAGCAGGAAAGGCTGGGGGTTTTCCCTGAAATACCCGCAGTATGGAGCACCCTGTCTTTTACTTGGCAACACTGTGGTGCAATGATTTTGACAGGGCTCAGCACGTCCCTGTTGGGCAGATGCCAAATCACTGTGATCGAGTCCTGTAACAGGGACCTGGCCAGAGGCAAGGAGCTGTGGTGCCCTGCCAGCCCCTCACCCAGCCTCCAGCTCACGCTGCGCGTCCCGCGTCGCATTCCCTTCCAGCAGACTCCGCAGGAGCTCGGAGCTGGCGTTGGAGGCACGCAGCGCTCTCCCGACCACTGCTTCCACCTCTGCAACAGCGCCCTCGTGGCTGCAGGGACAAGGACACTCAGAGACATGATATTAGGATTGGCCTCCTGGGAAAGGGGCGGCCTCCCTGCACCCCCGGCTGGGCAGACACCTCGTCTGCTTGTTGCAGCCCTACCTCTGGGACAGAGCCCGTGCCTCCAGTGCCCAGTGGCTCCAGTTTGTGGGCTGCTGAGGGATTTCCTGGGGAATCTCCTTAAAATGCAAACAGTAGCAGTGAGACCATGGCAAGGAGCAGGGACTCTCAAGCCCCACCAGCCCAGCACCAAGAACCTCCCAAAGGGCTGGGGCAAGGAAAATAGCTCCTCTTGACTCAGCTGCAAGGAGGGTTATACCCACACAGACCCCAGGCTTTCCTGCTCACCCACTGTGCTGGTCACATCCACATCCCACACCACCAGTCCTGGGGGCACATCCCCCTGCCCCCCAGGATTGCCAGCAGCCCCCCCAGGAGCCCAGTTCACCGTGGTAGCCAGGGTGTCTGCAGCATTCAGGATCTCCTGCTGTGCCGACTGCAGCACGGCCCCGATCTCTGACAGCAGGATGCAGGTCTTGGCAGATCCGTGGCCAGAGCAGCTGGTGGCCTGGCTGGCGTTGGTGAGACGGCCTCGTGCGGTGTTCAGAGCCCCTGCCAGCTGCCCCAGCTGTGCCAACAGGGTGGCCCAGGCACCTGTGGGCAGCACAAGCAACTCGTTGTCCATAGAGGTGCTCAGGACTCCCTGCTTGCCTGTGGGGCTGCCCCACGCCCTCCCTCCCACTTGCTAAGAAAAGGGGAAGACAGTCCCTCCTGGTGCTCAGGAGGGACCCACATATGCAGTACCCAAAAGGCACCCATGTGTTGGTGCTCAGCCCTCAGTAGCACCCATCACCACCTGCTCCAAAACCTCATGGGTGCAAGCATCCCTGCAGTGCTCTGTCCTACCCAAAAAGGCATATCCCCCCCCTGCGCTGCCCTCTGGGTCACCCCATCACCCACATTGAGCTCAGCGCTGACCCAGGAACTCCTTGCATCCACCCAGCATGTCACACCACCCTGCAGGAGCAGAGGGCACCCAGAGGGGTCATGTGGGGCTCCCCCATGGTGGAGGGAAGAGGAGTCCTCTATACCTTGCAGGACATGGGGAAAAGGAGTGTCCCTTGTACCTTGCAGGAGGTGTGGGCTGGGCAGCCCATCTCCCCGGGGTGCATCCCCCAGCATGAGAGACTGGCCTGGGTGGGCATTACAGCCTGGTTTCTGCAGCCATTCCTCCATCTCCTGCAGCCTGGCCTTCAGCTGGTCAGCCTGCGAGCAGGACGCAGGGGGACATGGGGGGACAGTAAGGAAGGGCGGGGGTTGAGGTTCTGTACCTGCCTCGGCAGTGCATGGGCTGTACCTTGTCCTTCACTAGCCCGTAGCAGGCAGGACACTGCTGGCAGTGGGAGCTCAGGGGGTCGAGGAAGAAGTTGGCCTGGCACCGGTCGCACTTGTAGCCCACAAAGCCAGGGTGGCAGAGGCAGGTGCTGTTCTCGTGGCACTGCGGGGTCACGGAGCCCAGTGGGGAGCAGTTGCAGGCTGCAGCAGTGGCAGAGAAGTGTCATACTGTGCCTGCCAGCCCTGCTTTAGGGACCGAGGCGCAGTCCCCACCCCCATTACCTCGGCAGCCCCTGGCAGAGAAGCCAAAGAAGCCGTGGTGGCAGCGGTCACATTGCCTCCCCGTGACACCTGGCTGGCAGGAGCACTGCCCCGTCACTGCGTGGCACTCGCTGTCACGCGACCCTGTCGGGTGGCACTCACAGCTGGCACGAGAAGTGGGGGGACATGAGCAGGCAATGGACCCAAAGAGCAGAGAGCAGAGCCAGGGATACAGGGCCACCCTGCCCCTGGCAGCCCTAAGCTGTGCCCCACATACCTCTTGCACCCCATGGCAGGCTCCAGGCCGTAGTAGCCAGGCTGGCAGTGCCCGCAGGCTCTGCCCGTCACGTGTGGGAGGCAGTGGCACTGGCCCGTGACAGGATCACAGCCCTCCAGACCCGGGTCTGAGCCGCTGGGGTTGCAATCACAAGCTGTGGGAGACAAAATAGCACCTACATCCCAGCACGGAGCTGGTGGACAGGACTGTGGGAATGGGACACTGGGGCTGAGCCCCTCCGCCATCAATGTGGAGAGTCACGTCCCCCCATCAAACAGGACTTCGAGAGGCTGAGCTCCTGCAGACCAGAGATTCTCCAGGGACGGATGGCAGTGGAGAAAGAGGACAAATCCCATTCCAGAGCATTTGGGGCTAACCTGGACTATCCATCAGCCCTAGACTCACTGGGCATCCCCCTTCCACCCTCTGCCTCCACTGCTGGGAGGATTTTGGCTGTAAGTGAGCTGTCCCCAGGACTCTACATACGTGCACACTTCCCAGCAGGGCTGGGAGCCAGCGCGTCCCCGTAGAAACCTGGCTGACACCTCTCGCAGTGCTCGCCCATCGTGTTGTACACACAGCGCAGGCAGCGGCCAGACACGGGGTTACAGTTCCCCACGGCATTCAGATCCACGTTCCCATGACACTGGCAGGGTTCACAGGGATGCACAGGCCCCCTCTGCCCCAGGGGGTCCCCGAAAAACCCGTCATCACAGAGCTCACAGCGTTTCCCTGAGGAAGGTGAAAAGATGGGGAGGGTTTGGCCGTGTCGGTGCTGCCCACAGCTCCTGTGCCCACCCACCCCCAGCCTCACCTCTCTGCCCTGGGGGGCAGTGGGTGCAGACCACCTCCCCACTGCTGGGCACCTCGGTGCAGGGTGAACCTCCGGGGCAGGGGCACGGCTTGCAGTCATCAAAGCGCCCTACGAAGGGGTTGCCATAGAACCCGGGGCTGCAGCGCTCGCAGGAGGGACCCTCTGTGTTGTGCAAGCACTGGCAGTGCCCTGTGGGGAGAAAAACAGAGCTGAGGGTCTGCAAAAACCCAGCCCCAAATAACAGCGGGGATCGCGGGAGGGATGGAGAGCCCAGCGCTGAGTGTGGCACACAGGGTGCCAAGAGGGATGTGCAGCTCCAGCCAAAGGACCATGCTGGGGTTGCACATCTCCAGCCAGTGCTCAGAACATTTTCCCTCCCTTCCTTGTCCTTGCTCAAGGGAGAAGGTTTTGGAGAGGACACGGGGGGACACAGCTGCGCAGGGACAAGGCAGAGCTGGCACAGGCAGCACCATCAGTGTGTGTGTGTAGGCTGTCGGCGCCTGCCATAATCAACAACACATTTCTCAGCAACGAGACACGTCCTTTCCAGCCTGTCATGGAAAACACAAGCAGCCGTCCCGGCACCCACTGGGGAGCATCTCCTCCAGGGCAATCCGAGCTGGTGAGTCAGCCTTCCGAAATCGGCTGTGAGGAGGAGAAGGAGGAGGAAGATGAGGAAGGGTGCTCAAGGAATCCCCACTTCCAGGCAGATGCTCTGCTTCACTAGGGAGAGGAGGAGCTGCAGGGAAGATTTTCCCCCACAATTTGTGGGGTCAGGTCATACCGTGAATGTTGCGCAGGAGGGAATGGGTGTTTTTTCCATATTCCCCACCTCCAGGCAGTCAGACAAAGGAAAAGAAAGGAAAAGCGGGTGGCAGGAAGAAGTGGAAAAATAAACTAAAGGAAGTGCGCAGGCTGGCAGAGCCCAGGCCAGGACATCAAAAGCCTGGCCCCGTCCCTGGGGATTGTGCAGCGGCGCCAGCCCCAGCTCTGTGAGATGAGGGCAAGTTTGCAGAGCTGCCACCACCCCCAGGAGCTCCCCTCTATCCAGGATCTCCAGGTAACAAATGCATCATTGTATTTCCAAGCTCTTTCCAGCACTTGTTGGAGCTGCTGTTGTCTGCAGGGGATGGGGAGCACAGCAGCACCTCATGAGCCCCACAGGGCTCTGGTCTGCATTTCCTTGGGGCTGACAGCAGCAAGACTGTTGGATTCACACGGCCACCTCAAGCTCCATGGCAGCTGTTTGCAATCCTGCTCCCCTTCCCCATCCAAAGCCACCCAGACACTGTCTGGCAGCAGAGGTGAGTGACAGCACCCTGTGAACCACCCCAGACACAGCCATACTGCCCCAAAGACTTTGCTTTGGCTTTTTCCTCCCTTCATCCGCAGCCCCTGCTGCAGTCACACACCTCTGAGCTGGATCTGGAGGCAGAACAGGGCTTAGGCTGGCAGCACAAGGGCCAGCTCCTCCCGTGTCTTCCCACAAGCCTGGCACTGATGTGTTTTCCTGCTCTTTTCCTTGTTTCTCTGCTCAGGTCGACCCCCAGTTTGCAGATTCCAGGGCTGTGCCCAGTCCTGCTCCACCCATCGGGCAGCAATGCTGCCTGTGAGACCCAGCCTGGCAAAATCCTCTGCCTCTCTGCTGCCTTGACCTCTGCTCCCACACTCCTCTGAGGATGAGCACCCTTCCCTTCTCCTCCTTAAAGGTCATATAGTGCCATGAAAAATGCCCCTCTAATTATAAGTTACCACCGTTATTGCACTTCATTAATTATCTCTGTCTTTGCAGCTACAAACCCAGTCCCTACAAGCAACTCGACTTGCAAATTTTGGGTACAGCAACCCCCACCGACGGTTTCAGAACAAGCACAGACATGGATTTGTCACTCGTGCATGGGGTGAGTGGAGGGGCCGGGGGGTGCACACCTGTGAGGGGGTGACAGTCCCCGTGCTGGTTGCAGGCGCAGGGCACGCAGCTGACGAAGGGGCCTCCAAAGGGGATCTCCCGCTTGAATCCGGGTGCGCAGGACTGGCAGAACTGCCCGGCATAGCCCGTGGGACACGTGCACTCCTCCACCCAGCCCGCCCGTGTCCCCAGCCCAGGGCTGGCAGATGTGAGCTGGACCTCGCTCAGGGACAGCCTGCCTGCGAGAGGGGAGAGCGGCCTGAGGATGGGATGGCACATCCCATGCTCGGCTCTCTAATTCCTGCCTGGAAGTGCTCCAGACAGGCATAGGAGACGCCAAAACACCTTCTGGAGAGCCCAGGGGTGTTCACAGAGAGGAGCCAGCCCCTGCTCCAACACACCCCCTGCAGTGCTTCTCGTTCATGAGAGTCTGCTGCTGCTTTGGTGTCCCCGGCTCATCCCAGCTTGGTCCCTGTGGGAATGTTGAGTGTAGACCACCCACCTCGCACGGGGCCGCGGCTCACACGGAGCCGGAGGGTGGTCAGGTTGGAGAGCAGGCGCTGGAAGCTGAAGGCTGACAGCAAAGGCTCTGCACCCTCCTCTGCCTCGTGCAGCCTGTTGGAGAAGGAGCATGGGAGCAAGGACAGGGCCAGTCTGAGAGCCACAGGACAGCTTGACTCCCTGGCTGAGACCCAGGCACAGCAATGGGAGCACAGTTAAATCCCTGATGGGAGCAGAGAGTGGAGCTGAACCCCATAGCAAAGGGCAGCCCAGACAAGATCAGGCACACTCTGCCCTAAACCCCACTGAGGTTCCCCAAAGCACTGTGACAGGTACCTGAAGGTGACAGCTTGCTTTCCACGCTGGGGCTGACTCTTGCTGCTGGGTATGGTGATCTCCATCCCCTCACCCTCCAGAACCAGCTGGACTTGGAGCAGAGACATCCCGAGCTCTGTCCCTGTCCTGTTCTCCACTCCCAACAGCAGGGACAGGAGCTGCCCATAACTGAGGCGCTGGTTCTGCAGAAACTTCTCTGCAAAGGGAGAGAGGAGCAAAGTCTGTAGGACGTGGAGGAACCAGCTCTGCTGCTGAAAGTCCTATTCCCACGAGCATCATCAGGAGCCAGAGTCACCCTCCTAGGGCAGTGCCAGCTCCAACCTGCCCTCCCAGGCAGATCCACTGTTCCAAACCTCCCCACCACCTTGTACTATTGAAACATGCTCAGCTCTGGGATGGAGCCCAGTGCCTCACACAGCAGCATAGCAGTGGGACACCCCATGAGAGTACCAGGGGGTCCTCACGGCAGAGCAGCACCCCAGGGACCCAGCACACACAGTACCTGGTGCACGAAAATCCACCGGCCCCTCTCCATCCCACTCGGTGAAGATCTCCTCGCTAGCCCAGCGCAGGGGCAGGTCTGTGGTGCCTGGAGCTGTGGCAGCCCAGCCCTCCAGCCCTGTGTGACAGCACACAGTGGACACGTTCACCAAAGGGAGCACCAGTAAGGTGCTGCTTTCAGGGGCTGTGTCCCTCCTCCCCAGGCTCTCCAGGGTCTTGGAAAGGGCCAGCACTTTGTAACACCCTGTTCCACTTGGGCTCTGTGCTCTCATGCACTAGAGGGTGGCCCTAGCCAGCCCCTATCTGTTTATTTTTTTTAGATTTGGAGGAAGTTATTATCTTTAAACTTTTGCCTCTCTGCCTGTGCTGCATTGCTAACATTACTGTGGGCTGGAGAGTGCAGGAAGCCTGGGGAGAGATGCTGGAGAAACCCAGAGAGAGATGGGGCATAATTGCATTAAGTTGGTTTCCTTCAGAAGCCAGTTAAACTCTCCCCCATTCCCTAGGGTTATTTCTTCTAGCCCTGCAGGACAAACAGTTGGAAATCCCTTCCCAGCTCTCAAGTGGGCTGTGGTCAGCTATCAAATCATCCCCAGTTGGGACTCTTTCACCCAGGACAGGAAAATTCCATCTGATCCAGCTCCACTGTAGATTGGGGGGCACTTTGGGGAGTGGGGCTTTAGGAGGGTGTCATGGCTACATCTTAGCCCAGGGCTTTGCTAAACCAGTCCCAAAAGGAAAAGCCCTAGATTAGCTGTGTAAAGGGTGGAAAAAAGGACTTGATTTAAAGCCTGGCTCTGTTTCAAGGCTGTGGAAGACATTCCAGCAGTACAGCAATTGGCAGCGTGGCTTAATTGCAATCAGGATCAACCCGTGCCTGGCGGGTTCGTATCCATCTGCTCGTCAGGGGACAGGCGAGGCAGACAGGGGGTGCCTGTCATGGGTGCTCATCCCTGCAGGGTGCAGGGGGGGAGTCCTGGTGAGCGGGGACTTGCGGTGAGGGCTGTGGTGTCCCTGCAACAGGGCTGCACACGCCGGAATGCGCGGCAGATGGCAGGGTTTCCCCGAGCATCCCGCACACATCCAGCCCTGCCACCACAGCCTTGGCTGCAGCCAGGCAAAGAGCACCCCATCCTGCTCTCCCAGGCACTCTGCCACATACCAGCCGAGAGTGGGGAGAGGAGGGAATAAAGGGGAAAGTTCACAGCAGGCTCCATCCTTTTAGATTTTAACTTTCTGAGCTGTTTTTAGTGCTCTTGCAGTCACTGGTATTGTGGGGCAGCCATGCCTGGCCCCACAGCCCTCCCTGAGGGGAGCCCTCCCTGGCCCCACAGCCCCAGGAGCAGGTTGACATGGAGGTATACCATGAGGAGCCAGGGAGAGCCCCTCCATCCCCATGAAGCTGGGGGCAAAAGCAAAGGCTTAACAGTAAAATAGGGGCAAGCCAGAGAAAATCCCCACTGGCCATCACCACTAGTTAGCCATAAAGGGGATGCTCAGCCCCAAGAGGGGTGCTCAACCCAACCCTTCCCAAGCTTTTTTGGCTGGAGGTGGCACAGCTGTGCCTTCTGTTTCACCCAGGGCTTAGTGGTCAGTACCGTGGCTGAAGTCGGAGCGGATGTGAGTCTCCTCGTATCCATCGGCTGCTGTGCAAGCGGTGGAGTGGCTGTAGCAGAAACAGCTGGTGCAACCAATGGGGTTGTGGGGCTGCAGATTAAACCAGCCTGGCTGGCACCTGGGCACAGGGAGGAAATGGGAGCAGGTGGCACAGGGCAGGCAGAGCTGCAGGGAACCCAGGGTGGGACACTGGTGGCAGCTCCTTGTGTACCCGGTCCCAGAGGTCCAGAGGGATGCAGCCCCACAATCTTGCCACCAAGTCCTGTCACTGATCCCAGACTGGAAAGAGACAGTGGTCCCGTCCCCATCCCAGGGCCATGGTGCTTACCTGTTGCACAAGTGCCCCTCCACCCTCTCCTTGCAGGTGCAGTGCCCTGTGTTTTGGTCGCAGGTCCCAACGCTGCCCGCTGGGTCACAGGTGCAAGGTCTGGATGGAGATGAAGGCATAAGGTGAGCCCTGCTTCCATCCCGCTGCTCCTGCCCAGGGCCAGGCTCCTCCTCACCTGCAGCCACCTTCACTGAGGCTGTGGTAGCCGTCCTTGCAGCGCTCACACTTCCAGCCCGTCACGTTGGCTTTGCAGAGGCAGGTCCCCGAGTTGTCACACTGGGGCTGCAGGGAGCCTGTGGGGACCCCGGCCAGCCCTGAGGCTCAACAGGACAGACTCAACAGAGACACAGGGTGGGAGCAAATGTGTAAACCTCGAGCAAGGGAGAACCCAGCAAAACCATCCCTCCCAGCTAACTCCAGCTGGGACAGGGGTTGTGCAGCCGCAGCCCAGCTGGGCACAGCCCCACGCACCTGCGGGGTGGCAGTGGCAGGGCTGGCAGGCTGCCTGTGGCTCCCAGCGGTAGTGGTTCTGCCGGCAGCGCTCGCAGTGGGGCCCGGCCGTGTTGTCGCGGCAGTGGCGGCAGTGCCCGCCGTGCCCGCTGCGCCGGTACAGCTCCCGGTCGTAGAAACACTCCTCGGAGCGGCCGCTGCAGTTGCAAGCTGGGGGGAAGGCAGGAGAGAGGGTGAGCACCTGCGGGGCACAGGGCTCACCCAGGGGTTACAGCAACCTCCTGTGGGGTCGGATGAGCCGGAGGGGACGCTTGGCTCAGCAGTGTGAGCTTTCGGCAATGCTTCTGCCACTGGAAGCAGAGGCGGGTGCAGCACCACGCATGGAGCAGATGGCTGCGCTCACGGGGTGAGGGAATGGGGAATCCACAGGGTGATGCTGTGAAGGAAAGCCCTGGGGTGCAAACCCTCCCTCCCTTACAAGCAGGTGCTCTCTTCCTGTACAGGAAGGGCAGGAGCCTCTGGATGAGCCAGTGCAGCACCAGTATGGCCACACACCTTGACCAGAGAGACAGCCCGAGCGATACTCACGGAGACACTCGTTGGCAGCCTCGGCGGTGCCGCGCGCCCAGGGCCGGTCCTGGTAGAAGGGCTGGCAGCGCTCGCAGTCCACGCCGGCCGTGTGGTGCTGGCACACACAGACCAGCTGCCCGGCCTCGTCCGGCGCGCACTCGCTGGCGTGGCCATTGCATTTGCACCTGTGGGGAAACCCCAGCACGGGGGAGCCTCTCTGAGCTCCGTGTGGGCAGTGATGGCAGTGGGACAGTGGCCCTGCCAGGCCGGCCACGGGGTGAAAGCAGCTCGAGGCTGTGCTGGTGTTGAGGCCGCCCATGGTGTCCCTGAGGTGATCCCAGTCTGGCCAGTCGGAAGGTCACACGCCGAGGGTGGCCTGTGCTAACCAGCTCCATCTGCTGACCCCGAGCGTGGGACGGCAGCTGGGAGCAGTCCCAGCCCTGCTGCCCAGGGCAGACAGCTCCCTCCAGGATGGAGAAATTTCCCACTTGTCCCAGCTAGGGAAGGGCACGTGCAGCACAGCCCATGGGCAGCACCGAGTGGGTGCCAACTGCGTCTCTGACCCACATCAGCTCCCCCTTCCCACAGGCAGCTGCTCCAGCTTCTCGGACTGTGTCCGTGCTGACTCCAAGCTCCTCCACCAGCCTCAGCAGCCTCAGGCTGCGGCTCCACTAGAACCACAGGGACCCCTTTTGCCATGCCCAGGGACCAGCAGGGCCACAGGAGGAGCAACACAAGCCCTGGTGTCATTAAAAACCATAGGGCTGGGAGGGGACAAAGCAAATAAAGCTGGTGGAACATGCAAAAGAGTTTGTGGGGAAAAGACCACCTTCCTGTACAACTGGGGAGGCTCCAGCTTTTATCACCCATCTCTGTATTTCCAGCTCTGGTTTACATATGGAGGAAGCCACATCTGGGCAGGTTTCCCAAAACCACAGTTCAAATAAGACTGGTGTGGAGCAGCTGCCCCAGCCCCACAGCCCCAGGAAGGTTCCCATACTCCTGCCCTCACCCCAATCTGGCTGCCCCTCACCTGCCACCGACTGAGAAGTCAGAGATAGCGTAGTAGTATGACTGCAGCACCTTGGGGTCCTTGAAGATGTCATCCCCAAATGTGTTGAGCCGGTTCAAGGAGATAAGCAGGTCAGTGACTGTCACCCACTCCTGCAGGGGACACAGGAAATGCACCTTGGCAAGGGGTTGGGGCCACCAGCTCCCAACTGGGACTCATCCTGCACCTTTCCCTACAGGGATGCTGGGCATCACCAGTGCTATTACCCCACGTGGGTGCAATAGTGCTCTCAGTCCCCAGGGCTCCATACACCCACCCCCTCCCGCCCTGGCAGCACCTGCAGCGCGGGGCTCCCATCGAAGTTGTAGGCGCTGGGCCGTCCCTCGAGGGTGGAGAAGGCCACGTTGCCCCCGCTCAGCGGGGAGATGTCGCTGAACTCATCAGTGCAGAAGGCCACCTGCTCGTCCTCCCCCGGCCTCAGGTACTGCCGCGGCCGCTTCCCGTAGGTCTTCTCGCAGGATGCACTGTAGTACTGGAAGGGCACCCAGGGCCCCTCGGCGTGGCTGCGCTTGTAGATGGCGAAGCTCTCAGGGCGGCTGGTGTGAAACTTCAGCCGCACGTAGGTGATCTCGTAGGCTTTGCCTGTGGACAGACCCACTGTGCTGTGACCCTCTCCAGGCCTCCCGATGGGCACCACCAGCCTAAAAATTATCCCAGTGCCCCATCCTGCACAGCTGCTGCCATCCCGCTGCTCCTACTGCATTGTCTCCCTCTCCACACCACAGCCAGAAGAGAATAAATCACCATCCAGCTGCCCTTAACCAGCTCCTCCATGGTGCAGCTCCATCCAGCTCCAAACTGGTTCTCACCCCAATGCAACGCCCACCCCTTGAGTGGGTGCACTGGTGGGTTGTATGGGCAAGGAGTCACTGCAAATCCAGGCTCTATCCAGCAGCAGGGAGGAGAGTCAGGCCCACAGCACTGAGAGCGTCCCCAGGGCAGTGGTGCCACAGGGATGGAGAGTTGGAAAGGGTCAAGGCCAATCCCTTTCCCAAGGATTCCCAGGGAGCTGCGTGCCAGGACCCAGCCTCACTGCCCTGTTTGCTGGGATGAAGACAAAGAGAGGCCACCAATCCCTGGGGCAGCCAGCGAGCTCTGAAAGCACTTGAAAGAATTAGCAGAAAGGAGAAGAGAAAACACCAAAGTGAACATCAGACCCTCTTAATTGCCAGAGATGAAGGACCAGCTCAAAGCCTGGATTGCTCCATAACAGCACCACTCCTGACAGCACAAAACAATTAGCTGCAAGGTTTTGGCTTTATTTGAAAAGATAATGAGTTGGGAATGTTATAGGGGTTATTCTGGGACTAGGAAAACAAGCCTTTAATTGGGCCCATATGAATACTGTCGCGTATGTGCTGCGACTGCTGCGGGGGAGCCAAGGCAGTCGGCTACCAGCACTGGGAAAAGCAGCTGCATCCCATCAGGGATGCGGGGAGCGCCCGGCTGAGTGCCTGGAGCTGGGGACAGACCCGCTTCGAGCCCACCTGGAGGTGATGAGGGCCAAGAAGGGTCTGCAGCCAGGCTGTCCCACCATCGCCACGCTCCCCTGTGCCTCTCCCCTCCCTCTGGGACCCCTCCAGGCTCATGACAGCAGGGGTGCCCTTGTCCTGCACCCCGAGCAAGGGGGGGGACGCCTGGCAGGCGCCGGTTCCCAGACAGCAGGGTCCCAGGGGGGATGTCTACCAAAACAGCGAGGTCAGGGCCATCACCTCCCAGAGCTGTTTCCTCTGGGAGAGGAAGGGAGCTCAGTGCTGTGTCAATAAACAGCCTCTGCCCCAAGTGGCCCTGCTTGAGGGGAGGGGTCAGCCAGGCTGGGGGAGCCCCATTTCGGTGCCTCCAGCCGGGATGGAGGAGACTCACTTCCCTGTGGAATCATCCTGAGGGAGTGTGTGCTTATTCTAGACAGGTTTTTCAATCAGCCGATTTCTACTTAGAAAAACCTGAACAAAGTGTTCCCTTGCCTCCCGTGGAGCCTGAACTGCAGATCATACAGCACTGGGGGCTCCAAGAGGATTTTAGAGAGAAGCCTGTGGGACAGTCACACCACTTACATGTCCCCAGCCACCTCCAGCCCCACAAAACCTCAGCACTGGGCTCCCGTCCCACAGGAAAATCAGAGGCAGAGTCACAGACACGGATGCTGCCTGATCTAGACACTCCAAAATGAGCCATTGACATTCAGGGAGCTTCCTGAGGAGTCCTGGTGTCTGTTGCCTTCGCAAGCCATGGATATTTTGGGTTCCTCCCTGACGTCTGACAGAGCAAGTGCAGGAGCCATGGACACTTGGGATGATCGACCTGCTCTGAGTCCAGTGCACTGTAACGGCACGGCTGAAATCTCCCAGGGAAGAGAGGTTTAAAGGAGGATAATCTAGTTAACGCCAATCAACAGCACGCAGGTAAACACAGCTCTTGTCCAACTCATTCCATATCTTATTTAATAAGCTCCCCAGGTAACCACTTTGGAGAACCTACATGACGTATGTCTGAGCAAGACAAGCAGGCTGAGGGGACACGTTGCAGGGGTTAAAACACCCCATTACCCGGTGGAGCTCACGAGCAAGGACTCATTCTGGGGAGGCTGCAGGGCCAGTTGGGCTTTTTCTTCTTAACCCAAGTGAAAGCATTAAGGCAGCAATAAAAAGGTCTGCAGCTGGGACAGAAACAGGGCCTGGCAGCTCTGGCAAAGTCAGACAGTGACATGCCAAGCACCAAAATGGCACTTTTTAGCACAGCAAGATGTAGGAGCCATGCAGGAGAAGGGGACATCTGCAGAGAATGCTCCAGCTCAGGAAGGGCCACAGGGACTGGGTTGGAAGATGAGCTTGGTGCGATTCTATAGCCTTGGCTGTGTTAACATAGACACAGCAGGGTGGGCACAGGGACTGGACTTCACAGGAAACCCGAATGCAGGGTCCAACAGGGACCACAGACAAGCCAGGGAAGAGCTGGAAGAAAGGCAGAGACTGGGAAGCAAGCCCCGGGGCCTGTGGAGCCCGCACATGTCGCTGCGCCAAGCTGGGATTGGTGGCCACAAACTCGCCTGGTGGCACTTTCTCAGACACACAGGCTGCACTCGGGTGGTCTGTGCCCCAGGACACCCACAGACAGATTTGGGGCAATCTGACAGTGGACAACAGGCCAGCAGATCCCTGCGGACAGGGCTGGCAGGAGCAGGAGCAGGGATGGCAGGTTCCTCTGGCATCGCTTCTCATGCCCGGCGGGGAGCCCAGCCCCGGCCCGGGGACAGGACCAGATGTCCTCCTGCTCGCAGGGGGCTGGGAAAGCGGCGACCTCCGCCCAGCCGGGCAGAGCCCGCGTCACTGCCGGGGCAGGCACGGACCCTCCACCGCCACGGCGACCCCAGCCAGCCTGGGTGCCACCAGTACGGCTCTGGGCCACACCAACACTCAGTTATCCCCTTACCTCGCTGGGCTGTCCCCTTACCAGCTCCAGCCGCAGCCCCTCCACTACCCCCCTTCGGCATGCAGATGGCAGGAGACTGCAGAGAATGAAGATTTTACAGCGCTGGCCAACAGCCAGGATAGTTTAGATGGTAGGAAAATGTTATAAAACCTTTTTAAAATGCCAGACATGCCCCGTGGGTTTTAAGTACCCTCCAAGCAGGCGGCTTGCACAGTATTTAAAACACAGAGGGGCGGATTCCAGCTGGGGAAACCTACTGGGACTGCACGATGTGTGCAGAGCTCTGCACCCCGAGATATACTGGGCACCCTCAGCAATGCAGGGGGTGAAACGGCAGGGGCTTGGCACCCGTGGTGCTCACTCGTCCTGGGCAAAGCTCTCCCAGGGGTAGGAACCACCTATCTCCTGCTCCACAGACCTCCATAACCAGTAAAAAGCAGCCGGGGATGAAAAGAAGGGCAGGCATCCCGGTCTTGGGAGGCTGGGAAGCAGCACAGGCAGGCATAGCCGCTGACATCTTCATCCCATGAAGGACCAGGGCTGATGGACAGGGCAGACCCTCCCTGAGTCCTTTCAGTGCTTTGCAGAGGGCACCTCCCTCCTTGCACCCCCTAAAAGACCTGGGGAAGGTCCTGTCCTTAACTCAGCACCGGCACCAAGAGCTACCGGATGCAGGAGCATCCACCCTTTCCCCCCCATCTCTGCACCCAGATCTCGATGCCCCCACAGCCGGTGCCCCTCACCAACATCACTGCTGGCACTTACCGAGGTGGAGGGTGATGTTGACGGAGTTGGGGTGCTGGATACCGAAGGCCATGGACTGGCTCTGCCACCAGGTGCTCTCCTCCTGGCTGTGGAAGTCGGTGAGGAAGGAGGCGTTGTGGTGGAGCCGGGGGTCGGCGGCATCGCAGCGATGGCACAGGGCGCTGTCGTGGCGGGTGCCCATCTGCAGGCAATAGTCCTCCGGGGGCGACCCGCACGTGTTGGTGGCCCGGGCGGCCCGGCCGAAGGCGGCGTTCTCGAAGACGGGCATGCAGCGGCGGGGCTGCCCCCGGGGGTCCCAGCAGGCGGGCGAGCCCCCCGCCCCCAGCCCCAGCCCCAGCAGGGCCAGCAGGCAGAGCCCGGGAGGCCGTGCCATGCCGGGGCTCGCCTGGCTGGACTCTGAGCCTCCTCCCGATGGCAAGGCGGGAGCAGGCAGGACGGGATGGGATGGGACGGGACAGGGTGGGATGGGACGGGACGGGTCCCCTTACCCGGCACCTCCTCTCGCTCCGAGGTCCATCTTGTGGAAGCTGCTGGGAATGTCGAAATCTTCGTCTGTGAGCCAGAGCTGTGGGGTTGGTATCACCGCAGGCCATCCTGGTCCTCAGGCTGTGGGGATGGGCAGGATAGGACCCTCCAGTGGGATACATCCCGGCCCCGTTGTTTTGGGGATGGGGGATTTGCACCTCCAGCTGCGTGGATGGAGCAGAGCTCCTCCATTTCTCAACCCCAGGAATGAGCCTCAGGAACGTGCCTCACCTGTAGCTTTTTTCCTTAAATTGGTGGTGGTCACCACTTTTCTTGCAGCCCCAAAATCAAAAAGGGGTGAGTGAAAGGCTTTGGAGCAGACCCAGCACCCTATTCTCCCCTGACACTGATTTATGGGATGCCAATGCTCCTGTACTCACACCAGCCTGGCTGGGTTGTGGGTCTGTGACACTCCCTTCAATGCCTCCACACCAGCACCCACGAGTGGGGGTCCCATCTCTGCCTGCTGCCATGGACCAGCCCAGTCCCCTTGACCAGGATGAGGGCACATCCCTGTGGAGGCATCTCCACGGGGTAGCAAAACCCAATCATCACCATGCCTCATTAACAGCTCTCAGCTAATCCTAATTATAGTCTGTGCCAAGGGAATCCCTTTGGGGACCATGGCACCTTCCAGATTTGACTCATGGGGGCAGGAGGGTGACAGCAAATAGGGGGAGAGGCAGACTGGCACAGTGCCATGCCCCTGGGCAGACCCTGCCCCACACTCCACAGGAGGTGTGTTTGCAAAAGAGGGGTGCACAGGGGGAGCGCCGCCTCTGACTCCCACGCTGCTTCACTGAGCTGCCCACAGGGGCCTTGGAAACTTAGCTCTCATTTATAATTTAAGCTCCCTTCTTCCCCTTCCCTTCCACTCTTATTTATTTTATTCTCCTTCCCCGTACACACTGCGGGAGAAAGCACCGGAGGGGAGCTGTGAATCAGAGTCCTGGGCAGCGGCTCCCGCAGCAGCGCCGTTTCAAAGCCCCATTATCATATATTGACCCAGGCTCTGACAGCCAGAGCCAGCTCCGCTGGGAAGGGTGAATTTCCCAGCACTGAGGAGCTCTGCAGCAGCTGCCTGGGAATGGGCGGCCAGTGGCAAACACACTGTCAACCTCCAGGGAGAAGGAGAAGGGTTTTCAGCTCAAGAGTTGCCCCGCACATCTCTGCCACCAGTTTTAAGCAGATTTGCATTCTGCAGAGATGAGGTTTTCCAGATGTTTTGCTTTCCACTTGCTGCTGAGGCAAGGAGATGCTCTCTTGTGTCATGGGTTTGCTTCCTCCTCCTTGGATGTTACACACACAGAGGAGATGATTTCCCTGCCCAGCTCATCCCCTCTTGCACAGGGGTCCATGTTAGAGAGTGATGAGACCATGTAGTGGGGGCTTGGTCTGTGCCCATGGGATGTACAGTGGATTCAGGCAAAGCTGATGAGCATCCCAACCTCACCTCCTCCAGCACAGCCCACCCAGCATGGGGGGATGGCCCACAGGGCCAGGGCTTGATGGCAATTGGTGGTGACACTGCTGTGCTCAGCAGTGGTAATGCTGCAGCTGGAGTGGGAGCTGCACATCCCTAGACGGATTCAGCTGCACCCTGGGCTGAACGAGCCCCTCATCTTGTCAGGTGCTGGGCACAAGTGTGCCTCTTGCCTGCACAAGGAGATTCCCCTTCACATCTAATGTTACTCTGCAAGAGAATGGCAGGAGTAGCCCCCACAGGACACACCTTCCTTGCACTGTGATTCCTACCAGGTTTGGATGGTGGCTCCTCACAGCAAAACCTTCAAGCACAGATGCATCACCTGTGCCATGGGTGAACTTCACCCCTGGATATGAAGTAGAGCTAAGGTTGGATATGGAAACCCCTTGTCTTCCAGGGATATGGATGATCTTGAACAAGAGTGTCCTAAGAGTGATCAGAGCTGGGATTTGCCCCCAGCCCAACTGGTGTAGCAAAGCCCAACCTCACCTGAAGTTCTCTGTACCTGGAGAGACTTCACCTGCTGCCCTGGGACTTTGGTCCAAGCGTAGCAGAGATGTGGTGACCAAGTCTGTGATGACACACCAACTTGCCCAGGAGCCTGGGATGAGGGGGACCTGGAACCCTGCAAGGGTTAAAAGTCGTGGAGGCGGAGAGGAGAAAATGTTCTTCTGATTTGCTTAATGAACGTTAATTAAGAAGACAGAAGATAGCAGATTCCTTCAGGGTAGAGATGAAAGGCCCGTTAATTAAATCGGGAGAGCGAGGAGCAGGGCCGACTGATCCGTCTCGTGATCAGACCTGACAAGGCAGGCGTGGGATAGGAGTGAGGTGTGCTGGAACCCACAGTCCCCCATCTCCCACAGCCCAGCTCCAGGCTGGCAGCACGGCCAGGTTTCAACAGGGTGTACAGGACTGGGTGCCACCACCCACTTACCTGCCCCCATCCACCCCATGGAGCTGTGTGGGACCTGGGTTGGTGCCCTTGACTCCACTTGCATACGGAGTGATACTCTGAGATGGGCACACCCTGGTTTCCAGCAGAACCTTCTCCAGAAGGGATGAGCTGACCTTGCTGTAGCACTGGTGAACACAGAATGGCCAGTGCCTTCCTGGGGAAGAGGAGGAGAAGGAAGTTTGGTCACTCAGGGGTTTGCCCCAGGTCCCAGCACCGATGGGAGCTGGGCACAGGTTAAACAGGAGCAGGTCAGAAAGGCACTGGCCACCACTTTGTGCCATGGAGGGACAAGGCTCTGGGATGGGCACCTTTTACCCATCCCTGGCTTTCGGCACACAGGCTGCCTCTCTCACAGAGTGGGCAGCTCCTACCACAGGTGATTTGCCAAAAAGGGCTTTTCTGCCCACAGCTGAGACCTGGGAGGCTGTGGCACACTAATGGGATTCTGCTGGCAGCTGCTGCCTCCGCACCCGCGCTCCCCGCCAGCTTTCAGCACAAGCTTATTTTTAAAAGCAGAGCAGCTCAGCATCCCAAATCACAACCCAAAACTGCAGCAGCCCTACCTGGCCTGCCCCTAGACTGTGACCAGTTCCCTCTCCCATCCCATCCTTTACCCTGGGACTGGAATGGGAGTTGGAGGCAGGTTCAGCTGCACGATGCCAGGAGCATTTCAAAGGGCACAGCCACAACGCTCTGCCACTCTCCCAGCACACAGATAAAGGGACATCTGGGGTGATGGGGTGCTCCTTGTTAAAACTAGCAGCCTCTTGGGCAGAGGGGAGGAGAGGGCAGCTGCCAGCCCACCCCCTAACTCTGCTCACTGTGGGGCAAAAGACCCCATGGAGGGGGAATGGGATGTGCAGCATAAATAACGGCTGGAGCTTCTCTCGTGTGCACCGGCTTATTTTGTAAACCTGAACTTTGCAAAATGTCACAAAATGGAGAAATGAGAGGCTTGGGATGAGTAAATCTCTATTAGAAATTCCCTGGGATGGCAGCAGTCATGTTCTCGCTCGATGATGGCACATTACAGCCCAGCCCGGCTCGGGGAGTGGGGTCATGTGTGGCGCTGATTGCAGAAAGTATTTAATTAACACTGCTGTAAATACAGCGCTAGTGATGCCAACCAGACCACGGCGGGGCAGGATGCTGCTGAGCTGCAGGAAGTTTTGCCAAGGCAGGCGGGAGAAGATGAGGGAGGGCAGAGAAAATCCAGCAGATTTTGTCCCTGCCTTGTCGCAGCCCTTGGGGGCATCAGGAAGCACGAGGAGGATGGGACAGTGACACTGCCACCTGAGAGGGTGTCCCCTGAGCAAGAAGGCTTCACCATCAGTGCCCAGACAAGTAGGGAAAACCCATAACTGGGAAACAAACTCTGTCCCAAAACAATTGCCAGGATACATATCACAATTCTCTCCCCTGATGCACAAATGGTTTAGAAGTCACCTTTTCAGAGCTAATAATCCCCAAATTCTCTCAATACCTGGCAGACAATGAAAATAGTAACATCTCAGCTTCACTCATGCATGACCACAAGCTCATCATCTCACTGATGAGCTGAATGACACCAGATTTGACCCAGCCCAAGGACACAGGGTGACAGATGAGCCATTGCTGTCCCCAGAACACACACTTCACCCATCTCATCAGGCTCAGGAGGTCAGGGACCACAACAGGAGGAAGGGCTGGGTCAGAGTAGGACCAGCCAGTTCCAGGCACAGCCAAAAAGGCCCTTTCACCGCCTGAGCTCATCAGCAGCTTAATGACACCCACTAAAAAGCTTCAAAGTCCCTAATCACTCATCATATTACGGCTGCTCACGAGTGAGGCCAACCAGTACAAACCTCCTCGAAGCCTTTCTAATTAATGAGCAGGAGCTTAGGCTCTCCCAGCCCAAAAGCAGCACCTCAGATAAAACCAACAGCCTCCTGCCAGCCCTGACCCCCTTGATAAACCCCTTTAATGGGCTTGTCTGCATCACCTGAGGGCACCCCATTGGCTAAGGAGGAACATCTGTCTGTCTGTCTGTCCTCCCCTGCCTCCCTGCTGTGGGTGGGGAGATGTCCATCTGCCCATGCATCCATTGTTCCATCCATCCATGGCATCCATCTGTCCCCGTGGAAGCCATGGGATGTGCTTGCTGTGGCTGCCCCTAACCCTGTGCCAGATCTCTGGACATGTCCCCTGCATATCCCCACCTGCGAGGTGCCCAGAGCATCCCCTTCACCAGGAGGGTGGGTGACAGCTGAGCAGCAGCAGATGCCACCAGATGGTCACCACAACCAGAGACCCGGATAAACTGATAAGTGGGAGGGTGCTGGAGCCCCTCATTTCCTAAGTGATTCCCTGTACCAGTCCCGAGTGGAGTGGGCTTGGGATGGTGGCACTGAGCTCCTGCCCACAAAGCCCCTGGGACCTTTGCAGCACTGGGACACCTGCATCAGCTCTGCCACAAAGGTTTGTGGCTGCTGTCACCCCCCAGGCTCTCCCCTGAGAGGGGCTGAGCACTTGCAACTCTTCACAGTGATGGTTTCTCAAAGGGCTTTGGAACAGCAAGCTCAGAAAGTGCTGGTGATGGGCTCTCAGGGGGCTTTGGAAAAGCAGGCTTAGAAAGCACTTAACCACTTTTTGAGCCTGCTTTTCCAAAGCCCCCCAAAAGCCCATCGCTGTGACGAGCTGTGAGTGCTCAGCCCCTCTGCCTTCCCCTTCCCTCTCCCTCCCGTCAATCAGAGATGCTCCAATACTCTCTGTGACAAATAAGAAGTTGCTGTGGTACCTTTGACTTTAAAGCAGGAGAAATAACTCCTCTATAACGTGAGCTACCGTGTCTTTATATTCCCAAGCGTGTCTCCCGGGATCGGGGCTGGGGCTCTGATTTAATATTCTCATGGAAACCAGTGCCCTCATCCAATTACCACGGGGATTTCGGTGCAGTCAGCAGCTGAGCTGCCGGTAGCCCCCGGCATGGGAGTGAGCCCTAAGGGGGACCAGACCCACCGTGATCTGGCTGGAGTCACCCCAAAACTGCTGCGAGGGGGGTCCTGAGTTAATTTAGCACCCCCAGACAGGGGCTGTGCCAAGGACTTAGTTTAGACTGGGAAGCGCTGGGGGAAACTGGGAGAGCGAACGAAAGATGAAGCATCGCTCCAGGCGGCAGCAGAGAGCTCTGTGAGTAACATCCCTGGAGATTTCCACTTACCGCGGGAATAAAATCCCTCTGTTTCAAACTGGAATGCCTGCTGCTCCGCATCCCCCTCCAGCCACGGAGCCTGGATGTTCCCTGGTAATCCTGCATCATTTATTTTCATTGGCTGACAGAAAAAAGTGCCGTCAGAAAAGCAGTGTTAGCTGTGCTGGCTGGCATGGAAAACGTTGCTTTAATTGTATTTTATTTGGCAATAAGGAAACAGAAGCAAGAACAAACCCTCCAGATATCTCCTCTCTCTCCCCATTTAAAATTTCAATTTGGTGATTTTATGACAATGTTTCTGATAAAGCCCAACAAAGCACATTAAAGTGAGATAAGTGATTTATCCTTTTCAGTGGCACATGATCTTTGGACACATTTCCCAGTCTATAAATATTAAGACAGTTAAAAAAAAAAAAAAAAAAAAAAAAAACCAAACTTGTTTTTTTTTTTTTCATGTCAACTGTTATTTTTCAAAGAGCAAACTCACTATTTTTTCCAGCCCTTTTTTCCATGCTTCTGATCTCTAAAGGCAAAACCAGGGAAGTATTGGACATCCAAACCAAAAAGCAGCCTCACTCCCTCCAGCCCTGGCCTGGGCATCACACCATCTCCTGCTGTGATTTTACACTTTCAAGGCCATTTTCCTTGAAAATTTCCCTTCCATCCTATTCCCAAAGAAATGGTGTCATTGATTTACTATTGAAAAGGGAAGAAGAGGCTTGCTCGTGCTCTGATGCCAATGCCAGCTGGGAGCTGCACCAGCTGGCCATGTTTTGGAGGTTCCCTGACCTTTTCCCAGCATCTCCACAAGTCAGGAGGATAAAACCTTCCAAACTGCCACGACATCAATGCATAAACCTGAAGATTTCTCTGTGCCACCTGGAATAAAAAATTCTGAGTTTTGACTAACCAGCCCAGCTCAGTTCTCCCATCCCGAGCATCCTTCCAGCATCCTGCAGATTTATTTGCTGCACAAAGCCCTGCTCACACCCAGCGTGGCAGTGACGCCTTCAAGGCACCAGGTGTTCCACATGGTGCGGGGGGGAGCTCGGGAAGGGGTTAATGGGTGGGCAGAGGCAGTGCCGGGGAGTTGCTAGGAGACTTGGGGCTTTAGGATGCTGGATGTGACGCTCAGCCAATGGAGGAGGCCTCTGAGGAGTAAATCTGCTAATTTGGGTGTCGATGATTGCAGGGGTTAGGGGTGGATGTGGGTGCTGAGCAGGGCTGACCCTGACCCCCCCTCCTCCCAGCCCCACACCGGTGCTTTCCCGTCCTGCTCCTGCAGTTTCAATTAAACCACTGAATTAATCTCTTGCAATAAACTCGGCCGCTATTGCAGTTTGCTTTGGGATTCATCATCACTTTTCCAGCAAATACAGCAATTAAACAGAGAGGTCTTGGTAGCCTGGCAGGGAAAGCCGGGGTTCCCCCAGGCTGATGGCTGGGATCAGGGTGCCTGCCCCCCCTCAGGGATAGCTTTTGTCAGCCCAAAGCCCTTTTAGGGGCTGCTGATAACGATGGAGCTGGGGGAGGCACCGCTGCCCCCCCTCACCTGCATATGCTCCTCCAGATGGCCCAGGCTGCTGCTCTCCATGTGGGAAAAGGTTTTAAATTAAAATCTTCCCTGTGGTTTTTGGCGATTTTTGGCTGGGCTTTTTTCCCCTCACTTTCCATTGCTCTGATCCATTTGCCATCATTAAGTGTAGATGGAACATCGGCACAGTGGAGTGGAGGGGGGGAGGAGGGTGGGCACAGGGTGGTTTTCAGCCAGGGTCCTGCCCTGCAGGGGCAGCCATGCACCCCAAAACGAGCCCCTCTCAGGCCAAGGTCAGCTCCAACTCCCCACAGCCCTCCTTGGATGCCTGGAAGCAGAATCACTCCTCTCTGGAGAGCCCCTGCTGAGCCCCCCAACCAGCCCCTCTCATCAGCACCAATGTCCCCCTGTGCCACCATCCCCTGTCCTGCCAGAGGGGTAGGAGGGTATCTTCAGATGTCCATCACTCTGGATATCCATCCCAGCAGGATCTGGAGCTGGCTCTGCTCCAAACCAGAGCCTTCTCCTACCTATCAGCTCATGCTGTCCCCTCCGCCAAGCATATGGCCCCTGGCTTTGCAGGGATGGGATGGGGCAAGTCACAGCCTTCCCTCAAAGCCCCATGCCTGGCAGAGGAGCAAGACCCATGCTGGGGCAGGATCTGGCCCCTCCAGGGACTCTGGGATGCCAACTTTTCTCAGAAACAGCGGATTACAGCACATCAGCTCCGATCAATACTCTGCTACGGCAGAAAGCAAAGGGAAAAGAGGAACAAAAAAAGGTTTCTCAGTTGCAGGGGATTTGGGGGTTTTGTTGTGTTTGGAGGGAGAAAAATAAAAGCCTGAGAAAGGGCTGGGCAGGAAGGGTCAGAAGGTGAACACAGCAGCCCCCCACTCCCCTGGGGCACTACTGCAGGGTGGGACTCTCTGTAACACGTGGGGTGCCAGGGAAAGCACATGGACATGGGGTGGGCGTGGGGTGGGTACAGGGTGGGCATGGGGTGCTCCCCTCTGCCTGGTACAGGGGGTTTGATTCTTTCCTCCCCAGATCAGGGCATCCACAGCAAAACCCTCCTGGCTTCCACCACGCAAGCAGGGCAAAAGCTGGAGGAGAGGGTTTGGCAGAGGGGAGAGAGAAGAAGAGATGCTCAGTCCCTGGTCTGGTCCTGCTGAGACCCTCACAACGAGTGACCAGGCTTGGGGATGCTCTAGACAAAATGAGGGTGTTAAAGGAGGTTGTTTGGAATGCTCTAGACAAAATGAGGGTGTTAAAGGAGGTTGTTTGGAAACCCAAATGTCTTGCAGGGAGATGAGCAGAAGAGATGCCCCAAGAGCTGCTGCCACTGACCTACTGTTGGCTGCAGCCCAGCACATCTTCACGGGTGGTTTGTCTGATTGTCTGAGCCATCGATTCCTCCCGTGGAAAAAAAAAAAAAGGTCCCGGCACAGCGAGCGATGTCCTGCCGTGCCTCTCAGTGATGGACACAGCACTCAGCCCTTGGGAGAAAGGCTCCTTCCCTGACAGCCAAAACGGCCTTTCCCTGCCAGGCGGGGGAGCCTGCACAGAGCAGTGACAGGGACAGCAGCTGGGAACACCGCGGGCTTCCCCCCTCCCAGGCAGGGACCCCCCAGCACCCAGTGGGGACAGCACCCATCGGGGACCTGGCAGGTTTTTGTCACCCGGGTCAGCGGCCTGGTGAAGGACCAGCGAAGGACCATCCGGGCATCGCAGCGCTCTCCCCTCGGCTGCTTTGGGATGAGGCTCACGCGCCTCCTCTGCATTCTGTGCTCTCGCCGGCGCGGGGACGAAGAGCTTTGAAGGAGCTGCCCTTTCATTATTAATATGATGATGATGTCTGACGCCGCGCGTGTGCAGCGACGGCTCTGCCTCCGGGGGCACCCTGCCAAGGAAAGCGCACGCTGTTCCTCGGGGAGGGGTCGGTGTCCCCCCCACGTCAGCCTTGCCCCCCGGCCCAGCACTGCTCCGTGTCTCGGGTGTGGTTCTGCCCTGCACAGCCCCTCACTGGGCTGGACCCACGGGACTTTGGTCCTCTTGCCAGCTCTGGCCTGCAGCATTTTGGGGATGCAGACCAAGCGTGGTTGAACTCAACAAGGGGGCTAAAGTGTCATTGAGCCCTGTCTTGGGGTGTCCCACTCCCTGGGGTGTCCTCTGCCCTGACCCAAGCCAAACCCCTGCCCAACACCACCACTGCAACTTTGCTTGCTGCCTTGGACCACAACATAGATGACAGTGTCTGAAATTTTTAAAAAAGACTCAGTTTAGTCCATGGATCTGGTCCCGTGTTGCTTCAGCCATTTTCTGCCCCCAGGCCAAGCCGAGACCCCTGGGCAGTGTGGGCAGAGCTGGCTCTGGGAAGGGAAACACTGCCAGGAGCCGCAACTCCCAGCAGGACCCGCAGCCTCCCGGCATCCTCACATCAAACCTCTCTCCCGTTTTTGCCCTCGGGCCACAGCTTGAGACATGAATCATCCCCTCTGTCTGCCTATAGATCAGGGCTGAGCTGCTGACAGAACCCCTTCTCCACCTATCCAAGCCCCTGTCAGCCCCCAGGGGGGCCCATACCCATCAATGCCCAGGCATGGTGTGTGCCCAAGTCCTTGGTGCACCCTGAGCACCCAATCCCTCCTGGCACAGCCTATGGAGCAGAATCCAGGGCTGTGGGGCCATGGGGCTCATCTGGCCGTGGATGCCCATATCCATGTCCCCAGTGCCACAGCTACAGCCAGACCCCATGATGGGTAACAGGAGGTGACACAGCTCAGCATGAGTCAGGGATGAGCCAGGCCAGTGTCCCTGCCATCCCCTGGCCCACCAGAGCATGGGCAGGGCTCACCCACGGCTCCCAGAAACACAGCCTTCTCCTCCAGGCAGGCACCCTCTATCCTGCTCATCGAGTTGCTTGGAGACTGGAAACTGGGAAAAGCACTGGGAGCGGCCGAGCCAGAGCCTCGCGGGCACCCCTGTGTCAGGGTGCAGCAGGGACACCCCACACAGGGCAGGGGCTGCGAGGGGCCAGCCCTGCCTGCACACCCCTGCCAGCGGGCTCCCAAGCATCCCACCCCGCACCACCTCCGTGATTCGGCTGTGGGTTATGTCAAGGTATGTTGGATTGCAAATTAACCATCAGCGCTCTGCACGGTCCCGGCTCCATCTGCAGAAAATGAGTTGCTGGACTTGGAGAGTGTCCAGTTGTGCAGCTCGGCGTGCCTAACGCCCAGGGCTGACAAGCCACTGAATCACTCCTCCTCGCACTGCCAGGCCACATGAAGCCAAGATGCATTTCTTTTTAATGATAAGTTTTTATTGTTTGGAGTTCAGCTAAAACAGCCTCCCGGGTGCCCGTGGCCTGATGCTTCCAGAGTGGCCAAGCAGAGCCGGGGGCTGAGCCCGGCTGGTGTGGGCATGTCAAACACCCCACTGGTGGCACGAGCTGGCCGGTCTCAGCTGTAAAGGGAAGTCCTTGAAAATTGTCCATGGGGAAGGAGCTGGGCTGCCAGCCATGAGCATCGCCCGGTAAATCCACACACAACATCACTGCAGCCAAAGGCAGGATTTGCACCTTGCCAGGAAACAACACACACACACACACACACACACACACGTACTGACTGTTTGAGGCAATGCCTGTGATTCCCAACCCGCCCCAGAGAGGTCTTTTGGAACCAGCCGACCCAGCATGCACCAACTCTTCCCCAAATGGGGTGTGTGTCCTGGAAAGAAGCTGCTTGGACCCCTGCCCCCCAACACACAAACAACCTGACACACCCCCCCACCTTACCTGCCACCACATGGGAGCTGCTGGAGGGTCCCAACTTGAGCTGAGCTCCAGGGACAGAGACCCAGGGGGGTTTGAACCAACCCCCAGCCCATTGTGCTGCCTGCCCAGGGGACAGCCCCATGCTGCAGGACAGGAGTGTGCAGGGTGGATGCAGGGCCCTTCCAGGAGGTTTCCCAGGGGCTTCTCAGCACGGAGAGATAACCCAGCCTCCCCCTAGATGGATTAAGAGAGGGCTGAGCCATCGCTGCTCTCACGATGCTCCTCCGAACCTCTCAGCAACGCTCCTGCCCGCAGGTCAGACAAGTGGCAAATAAAAGATTTACGGGAAGTGCGGCAAAGCTATGGGAAGGAAAACCACATCCACTCGGGAGTGGCGGCACATCAGGCCGGGAGGGACTCCTGGCACGCAGGGTCAGCACCGCTGCTTTGGGCTGACAACGCTGGGGTTTGGGCAAGGGATGCTCCAGTGGGCATTGGTGTGACCCCGCAGGGAGGGGAGCTGCTGCCTCCTCCCCCATCAGCCCGCACCAGCTTCCCACTGTGCGCTGGGCTTTGCTCCGAGCCCCCCAGCACTTTGGCTACCCTTGGGCACAAAGGTTATGGGGGGTGGGGGCGTGCCAATGGCCCCCCTCTCTCTGCCCAGCACCCTGCCCATTCCTGCCCACCGGTGGGACTGAGCCCCGTCAGCGTGGGGGTGAAGGGGCGTATCTTTGGAAAGGGGGTGAGCGGGTCCCCAGGGCATCCGCCTCCCCCTTCGCCCCCCGGTCCCCTGTAGCACCCCTGGCCCCGCCGGCACCAGCCCCCACCTTACCTGCTGCCGCTCCTCCAGCTGTGCTGCCACATCTGGGCAGCTGCGGAGCCCGGGGCTGGAGGAGGGGGGATCGGGCCCCAGTCCGGAATGACTGGGGCGGCCGGGGGGCTGCGGGCTGTGCTGGGGGGGGCGGGGAGACCCCCCGGGGCATCGCCGGGCGGGGGGCCCGGAGCGGGGCTGGGGGAGCCCCGGGGGGGAGCGGGGCGGGCGAGGAGGGAAGATCCACCCCCGTGTCCGTGCCCGTGTCCTCCCTCCCTCCTCTTCCTCCCTCCCTCCTCCTCCTCCTCCTCCGCCGCCGCCGCCGCCGCCGCCCGTCCTCCGCCGCGGCCAGCCGGGCAGCGCGGGCGGGCCGGGGGCTGCGCCGCCGGGGAGGAGGTTTGGGGGAGCCTAGGGGGGTCCGGGCACTTACTTGGGCTGGAAGTTGGCGGCGAGATGGGGAACGAGCGTTGGAAAACCGTGGGAGGAGCCTCGCAACTTGAGGATGGGCAGCAGGAGAAATCGCAGGTACGGGGCGGAGGGCGGAGGGGGGGGTCAGCCATCCCGGGGGTCCCACCGACCCCCCAGTTCCCCCAGCGAGCTTTCCTCCCAGTGCAGCCTGGTGTGGTGAGCTGCCTCCCGGTTCTTCCCGTGCAGAGGCCCCCGGGTTGCCCCCCCTCAGCCCCCCCCCCCCCGAATTATTGTGTTTATTAACCCGCGGCCAGGGTCCCCCCCGCCAGCGCCGGGGCTGCCCCCGGCCGGGTAGCGGGCGATGCTCCGGGGCTGCCACACTCCTCTGCTGAACCGCTGCACGCTTTAAACTGCTTAAATAACCCTTTAAAAGGGATTCGGCATCTCAGCTCCCCGCGGCAGCCAGAGCCATCCCTCCCTGTTCGGGGGCTCCCGGCTGCCTGGCCCGCTCTTAACCTCCAGGAGCGCCCCTGGTTTTTGGGGGGGAGGCCGGCGTTGCGGCGGGGTGCGGTGGAGCGGCGGCAGAGCCTGCGGTGACACGCGGGGGATCCGGCACGTGCCGGAGCCCGTTTGCACATCCCGCTGCACGTGTGCCAGCCCCCCCATCCCCGGCACGGCCCGGCCGCCGAGCTCAGCAGAGCAGGTGGGGGATCCGAGAATCCCATAACGGTTTGGGTTGGAAGGGACCTTAACGCTCATCTCGTTCCAACCCCCCTGCCGTGGGCAGGGACAGCTTCCACTAGACCAGGTTGTTCAAATCCCCGTCCAGACTGGCCCTGGACACTTCCAGGGATAGGCACAGGCACGGCTGCACGGCCAGGCACGCTGGGCGCAGGCAGGGTGGGAAGAAGAGGTGCTGAGTATGGACAAATGTGTCTAGGAAGAGCTGGAGGAGAGTGAGTCTCCGACTGTGACTGGAGGGAAGGAGCCAAGAGCTGGCAGCGCTGCCCTTCCTCCGCACCCCGGCGCTGGGCGAGGGTGGGGGGAGCAGCCGTGAGACACGCTCGCCCCCAGGTCTGACACTTCCTGTCCCCTGCCACCCGCAGTGAGGCAGGAAAGGGACTTTTGCCTGGCTTGTCCCTTCTGCACACCCTTTACCTGCGCCCTCTTCTCCCCGGTCAGCCCCTTCACGGGAACGGCTTTCGCGCCTCACGGGAGAGGGGCTGCGCACCCCGGGAGACCCCTGACCCCCCAAGAGAGAAACCTCACTCTTCCCTCCCCGGCAAAGCTGCCTTCCTGCGCTCAGCCCCTCCACGCAGGGATCCGAGCAGTGCCATCGGGCTGGAGCTACCATCCCCCCGGCTTTGTGCCCCCCGTGGCCCCGAGAGTGAGCTGGGCAGGATGGATCCAGCCCCACCTCCCGTACGGGACTGGACGACCCAGCCTGGAGCTGATGGTTCGCGGTGCGTTGCAAAGGATGCACAGAGTTTTCCGTGCTGCGATCCCAGCTTCTGTAAGCTCCGCTGAAATCCCAGCCCAGCCCGCCTGCATGCTCACCCACAGAGCCGGCTCCGCTGTGCTCGCCAGCCTTCCCGTCTCCTCTTCTCTTCCCGATCCGCAGAGCGTGGCGTGGGAGCGGTCGCAGGCAGGCTCTGGATGATGAAAAGAGCTGGGAACGGGAGCGGGATTCAGTTCATCTGCTCGGTGCCTGCGGGGAGCCAGAGGAGCGCGGCGTTGGGCTCCGGGAGGCGGCTGTGATACAGCCCCGGCGCCAGGCTGAGAACAGCGGGGCTGCACAGGCGGGGAGGGTGGAGAGGGACGGGGCAGTGGAGCAGAGCAGGGCAGGGCAGCGGCTGGGATGCAAAATGAGCTGCTCGAGCAGCTCTGGGGCAAGCAATGAGTTGGGGGGGCGAGAGGGACAGGGGACTGACTCTTCCTGCCCTGGGGTGCCCACAGCGCCGGGTGGGCTCCAGCGGGAAGGTGGGGGTACCTGGGCTAAAGTTTGCTCCAGCAGCTGAGCCTGGGCAATGCAAGCCAGTGCCCCCCTGCCTCGGAAGCAGAACAGGGGGCCTGGTTCAGGGGGAGAGCACCCAGGCAGCCAGATCGCTGCCTGCCATCCCACAGCAGCACTTGCCTGGTGAGCTGGCAAGGAGCAGTGACTTTGGCAAGAGCAAAGGGCACCTCCTCCTCAAAGGGCATCTGCCAGGGCAGAGCTCAGCCTCTCCTGCCACCACTCTGTCCATGCTCTCCAGGCACCAGTCACCTCTGTCTGCTCTGGGGACAAGCCAACTGGTGTCCTCCCCTCCTTTCAGGCTGAGTGTCTCCCATGCCCAGCACAGGCTGGGAGGAGGCCGGGGGATGTTTTGGGGGCACGATGGGGTGCAGGGCAGCCTGCAGGTGGCTCATGCAGTGTGGCTGGGGCACCAAGGACAGTCCCCACAGGTGACTGAGCACAGAGCTACTGCCTGAGCCAGTGCAGGGCATGAAGAGCCTGGGTCATCTATGCACCAGGGACAAAACCATGCCTTGGTTTCTGCGTGGGGCTCTTTCCCAAGCTCCAGTCCCAGCTCCACAGCAGGTTTGCAAGTAAAGCTCCACTCATCCTGAGCACTGCCCAGTCTTCCAGCTTCTGCTCTCCTCAGGAAGGAGTGATTTGGAGACCTTGGGACCTCCAGCCTGATAGATGTCTCCAGAGGGATATCAAGAACCAGGGGCATGTCCTGCAGCTGCCTGAAAGTCTTGGCAAGAAGATCCAGGAGCCTGAGGCCACGGAACAGACAGCAGGAACCCCTGGGGTCATGAGGGCCGTGGCCATGGTGGGGCAGGAGCATGTGGCAGAGGCATCCACAGGGTCCAGTGCTGGGAGCTGGCCATGCTGCCGTGCTGGGGGAGTTTGGAGGGACCACTATCCCTGTTTGGAGCGTTGCTGGTGCCACTGACTGAGTTTCCCTCCTCTCCCCACTGCAGGTTGCCAGGTAACACAACCTGCCAGCAAAATGCCGTGGGACTCGTGAAGCTGCCGCCACTCAGAATCTTGTGGTTGCAAGCAGAGGGGCTAATTTTGGAAGGGGATTGGTCCCCTATTCCTTGTGCCAGTAGGAGGGCAGTGATTCTATGTCTTAAAGGCTGGAAAGCAGCTGGATACAGCTCCCGGTGTGATGGTAGACTTGAGCAGAGCTGCAGGATTTTGGTGTGTTAAAGCCCGGTTGGGATTTGTATGGCTGTGGGAAGTGAAGCATCAGCTGTGCACAGCTCTGCTCTGGGAATCTTTACTGCTCAGAGAGGTCCCTTGGCCCATCCATGTGCCCCCTTGAGCTGGGGACATCAGTGCAGTGGGGAGCAGCAGCAGCGGGATGGGAGGGCACAAAGTTGTGGAGCTGAAGGTGCTGTGATAGCCAGGACAGCCACAGGGACACGGTCCCTGCTCACCCCATGGATCGCAAAGCTCCTGATGGTGGCTTTTTTCAGCAGCCATCCCTCCTGTCACTTCTGTGCTTGCAGGGTGCTGAGGGGCTGGGTTGAGCTCAGGTCCCGGGTATCCACGTAAGGATCTCAGCAGTGGGCATCTCCCACCTCTGTCTGCCACCATCCTGCTACTCCTGGGTGTCCCTTGTGCCCCCAAGCCAGGGCTCTGTGTCTACAAACACTGGGCAAACTCCTTGACCCTCTGCTTGCCAAAAGCTCCCCTTATTGCCTTTGACATCTTCTTTTATCGTGTGCTGAGGGGCTGAGCCTGGGGCTCTCTCCTTACAGAGCTCCCTGCAAGTGGCTTCCCCATTCAAGCCAGTGCTGTTTGCATCTCCAGCCTCACTCCCTGGGCTGGGGAAGAAACCTGGAACATCCCCTGGGGCTGGTGGCCAGCCAGCCCCTCCACAGCTGGGGTCACCTTAATGCAAATGGTTGCGTGAGCGTGAATGAAATGAAGGGTGCTTGAAGGAAGGTGTCACTCCAGATAGATGTGCACAGGAGGGGACAGGGCCTGGGAAATCTTTGCAGATGCAGCAATTTTCCCCTCGTTTCAGGGGAAAGTAGTCTTTGTCTCTCTGAATCTGCAGTTTGCTGCCAGCCCTGCAATTCCTTATGACAGCTGTGGCCAGGGTCAGGGGAAAATCGCAGCCTCTGTCCTGCAGGTGTAATGAGGAGGGGAGGTGGAGGGGGACTGGGAGCTGGCGGGATCGGGTGGCAGCTCACTCCCTCTGCACTGACTGTGTTGGCACTTCATGCTTTGCAGGGAGAAAAGGCTCTTGGTGGGCAATGGAGCAGCTCCCACGGGCTGAGCCAAGGGGTCTGTACAGCAGCCGAGCTGCTGGAGGGGCCTGGGGAGGGTCAGAGACCTTTCCCACAGCACCTTTCCCTCACCAGTAGGCTCTGGGACTGGTCTGAGGGCTTTGAGAGCAGCTCTGCTCCCCTCCAGCAGGCAGTGAGGGCGCAAGGGGGATGGGGACATGTGGCAAGCCACAGCTGGGAGATGCCCCATGCAGAGCAGGTCCCCACGATGCTCAGGGCAATGTGTCCCCAGCAACAACCCACAGTCTCCCCTTGCTGCTGGGACAGCCCTTGCCTCCCCTCCCCTCCCCTCCCTGCTTTCCCTGCAGTCCTGACTCCAGGGAACACAGGGGGTGTTTTCCCTTTCTCTCCCCATATTTGTGCCCAGGGCACCAGGGACCCCCACACGCTGCTCTCCCAGGGACCCAGGGCTGTTCCAGCCGAGGATCACCACCATAAATAAAACACACCAGCGGGAGCTGGTGGCTGCCGTGCCTTCGCTCTCGTTATTATTTCATACCCTGCTCCCAGGCGGGTTTAGCTGCTTTGCTCACTGAGTGTTCACCCGTGGCCTCCACGTTCCTGGCAGAGCCTCAGGGCTCCCTGGGGTCTCCCACCTCCCCTCGTCTGTCACCACCCCCTTGGCCAACCTTGTTGCTGGGCCCCCCCAAAGCCTGTGAGGGTTTGAACCTACCTCTTGGAGGAAGGGGAGTGGGATGGGTCTGTCCGGACGGGCGCTGACGGTGTCTGTCTCTCTGCCGACAGAGGATGAGCTGCGGGTACATCCTGTGCACCGTCCTGCTGTCAGTGGCCGTCCTCCTGGCAGTGACAGTCACGGGGGCCATCCTCTTCATGAACCACTACCACACGCCCGTCACCGAGTCGCCCCCCGTCATCAGCACCAACCCCGAGGAGGCCAACGCGCTGGTGACCATCGAGAAAGCCGACAGCTCCCGCATCAACATCTTCATCGACCCCAACTGCCCCAGCGCCGCCGGCACCCTGGGCCGCATGGAGGGGCTGCAGATCTCCCTGCTGCGCGCCGTCACCGACCACGACGCCGAGGCCAAGGCCACTAAGAGCCAGCAGAAGGCCCTGCTGGTCACGGTGGCGGACGAGGTGGCCAAGCTGCTGACACACGCCGTGCAGCTGCGCGCCGACTGCGACGGCCTCAAGAAGGGGCACAGCGCCATGGGGCAGGAGCTCAGCGCCCTGCAGGGAGAGCAGGGCAGGCTCATCCAGGTGAGCCGGGGCTGTCAGCGCCGTTCGGGGCTCCCTGGGGATAGAACACCCTGTTCTGGAGTCCCTGAGGGCATTGCCGGTTGCAGCCCCTGCCCATGGTGTCTGGGGGAGACCTCCAGCAGAAGGAGCTGAGGTTGAAGGTGGGTTCTCGGGAACTGCAAGTTGGGAAATGTGTCGTTGCCAAACCACCTCAGTGCCAGTGAGCTGGGCATGCAGCCTCCCACATTGTGGTTCTCCTGGCTCTGGGTCCAGTTTGGAGGTTCCCAGTCAGAGCTGAGCACAGCACAGGACCTTCCCAAGGGCAGTTCACGCAGCAGTCACCCTCCCCTTATTTCCAATCCCCAGAATTGCCAAGCTGATGAACTGTATTGCAATGCTTACCTGGGTATGCTGGGGGTCTGCCAAGTGTTGTAGCAAGATCCAGGGCCCGACCCTCCTGGTGCTCAACTCCCTCCATCCGGAGCTGTTTGTTTCTCTCTGCTTCGCTTTGCTCCCCATCCTGCTGCTCTGCCACGGCCACCCCGTGTCACTCTCCCAGCCCGGGTCACCTCAGGAAACGATGAAGAGCTGGTGGCTGCCTCAGGACACGGCTATTCCTGCCGCCTCCGTGATCCTGTCCTTTGCCCAGAGATGCTCTTTATCCTGAGGGGTGGCAGCACTGACACACCCAGGTTCAGGGATTTCTCAGCCCTGGTGGCAACAGGCACTATCTGGAGCCTGACCCACAGCCAAAAAGAGATGCCGTAAGGGATCTGCTTGGCTTTATGTCCCCACCAGCCCATGCCCTGGCAGGGAGCACTGCTGAGCCATGGGAGCAGGCAGAGCATCCTCACAGTGTCAAGGGGCTGGGGCGTGGAAAGGGTTTAACCACATTTAACCACAATTCCGTGTCCGCCCCGCGTGTCCCCTTGCCCACAGCTGCTCTCGGAGAGCCAGACCAACATGGCTCGGCTGGTGAGCTCCGTCAGCGACGTCCTGGACACGCTGCAGAAGGAGCGGGGCGGTGCCCGGCCCCGCCTCAAGGCTGACCTGCAGCGAGCACCGGCCAGGGGGGCGCGGCCCCGGGGCTGCTCCAACGGTGAGACTTCATCCCTGCCAGTCCCTGGGGAGAGGGATGTGCCTGGCGCTGCTCTCGGGAGGGGGAAAACCACCCAAGATGGGGCAAACCACCCTGGAGAAGGGATTTAATACAGAGAGGGGGCTGGCAAGGTGGTGGAGGAGGAGGGACACAGGGAGGTGTGTCCTGGAAGGGGGGGTTTCTCACCACGTTTCTCACTAGTTGTCTGTAAACCAGCACAAAAGCCACTTCACACCCCTGCAGACCCACCTGCTCCCCAGGCAGATGTATCTGGGGCAAAGGTAGAGCAAGGAGTGACCGTTTGCCTCCATTTGGGTGCAGAGCGTGGCCCTGCACGGGCTCGAACAATCACATTTATCAGCGTTTGGTTGAGTTGCAGCTAAGACTGTCCTGGGGTCGTGAGCACATGCCCACACTCTGCCCAGAGCCCTCTCTGGGCATCGGCTCCCCCATCCCCAGCTGGGTCCCAGCGTGCCCTTGCCATCACACGGGGGACGTGGGGTCAGTCCCTGCAAGCTGCTGGGGGCTCCCCGTGGTGCAGCGTCCCCCTGGGCACCGCTCACTATGAGCATTGGAGGAGAAAGGAAGGAAAGAGCAAGGCAGCACCAAGCAGCCAACTAGAGCTGGAAGCAAGGTTGGGAGCCTGGAAGAAATGGCAAGACACTAAATTAGATCATTAATTAACCAGCTTTCCTCGTCCCACCCCATCCCAATGCCACGCTGCAGGCTCCCGGCCCCGAGACTGCTTTGACATCTATGCGAGTGGACAGCAAGAGGACGGGATTTACTCCATCTTCCCCACGCACTATCCCTCCGGCTTCCAGGTCTACTGTGACATGACGACGGACGGGGGCGGCTGGACGGTGAGCTGCCACCAGGCTGGGGGACACCGGGGGATGCCACCGCTGGCCACGGGCTGGCCCTGTGCTGGCATGCCGGGGGTGGGAGATGTCAATTTTGACACTTGAATGTGTCATTGGGATCTGGCATAAATGCTGAGGGGGTCTGGCTGCACACAGGGGCTCAGTCAATGCCCGTGCTGGCAGCATGGACTGAGCTTCCCAGCGGTGCCAGCCAGACCCCTGAGCTGGAGCCCAGCAGCCCTGCCCTGGACTGGGATGGGGAGTTTGGCTGGAGCTGGAGGGTGGTTTCAGGCAGGGTGTTGGATGCCAAGGCATCCAAGGAGTTTGTCCTTCTCAGTGGGGCTGGGGCACAGTTGGGGCACAGCGTGGCTGCAGTTGTGCCACGGGGCACGTGGCTCTGCTTTGCCGTGTCCTCGTGGACACGGTGAGCTGGTGCTGGGGCTCAGGTCAGACCCCAAACCCAGCACTCTTGGCCTCATCTGAGGCCAGGGTGCCTGGGGCGCCTGGGATGCTGCGCTGATTCACTCTCTCCCTGGCTGCCCTGTCCGATTCGCTTTGCCACGGCAGCTGCAACGGCCCTGTAATCACAGTAATGGGGGCAGGGAGCAGGGGGAAAGGGGGGACACGGCAGCACCAAGCTTGGAGCCCCCCCATTGCCCCAGGGACCACTTGGGTGCAAGCAGCCTCCCCTACCCAGGAGGGCATCACCTGGGGTGCCAGCAGGGCAGGAGGTGGTCCCAGGGAGGTGGTGGGGGCTCACTGGGAGGGGTGGGCAGGCAGCCTCTGCCCCGGGGACACGCTGGGTGAGCCGGGCTAGCCAGCACCCCTCCAGCTGGGTGCTCTAGGAAACAAATCCCCACGATCTGATTCCCCTAAGCAGCTTTGAGCAGTGCCAGGAGGGAGCTTAGCCCCCCTGCCCCCAGGGACTGATGAGCCTTTGACCTCCCAGCGCCCACCCTGTGCAGGAGGAACCTGTGGTCTGTGGGTTGGTACCAGCAGCTCAGATGGGGAAACCAAGGCACAGTGCAGCCCTGGAGACCTCATATCTTGGGGGCTCACAGAGGGAAAAGGAGAGGACCTCTCTAGCTCTTCAGGGTGTGGAGGGTCTTTGCAAACCCCATGCACAGTCTGCACAGCCGCCACCAGCCCCAGCCATGCCTGAAGAGCAGCCCAAGGTGATTAGCGAGACACTCAGAGGCTTATTTAAAGCTGCTGCAGCCGGGAGGGCTTGGGCTGAGCTGGGGAGGGGGCAAAGGAAATGATTTTAAGCCCAGCAGCACCCTGGGGGCCTGAGAATGGGATGGCACAGCCAGGCAGCACCTCAGCTCTGCCCTGTCTCGATGGGATGAGGAGCCAAACCAGGTGCTGAATCCCACTGTTCCAGAGACAGACACATCCAGAGCAGGGTCAAGAGCACACAGCCCAGGCTCCTGTTTCTTGTGGCTGCTCTGCAGCAGCAGGTCCCAAACATACCTCTGGTCCCTTGGGTACAGGGGTTGTCTCAGCCACATCCCACAGGGCTGGGCACGAAGAGGGTCCTTGTGTCCACTGGCTTATCCAGGCTCCAGGTAAGCCATGGCACAGCAGGGTGTCGTGGTGCAGAGCCTGGGAAATTTCCCTCCCCTCCTCCTCTCTGGAGCGATTACTCCTGACATTTGGGCTTATTTGCATGTGGGTGGGTGGGTGGAAGTGATGGCAGCAGCTGAATCAATTTTGACTCGGGAGCTTGGGAGCTGCTGAGCTAAGCTTTAGCCTGCACGGACAGCTTAGAGACCACAGGGCAGGGAGAAGAGCTCACTGGGTGCTGCTCAGCACCTCCCCGTCCCCGCGGTGTGATCTGCGGTGCCAACCTGTCCCCTCCCCAGAGGCAGCTCCCTGGTCACTCCCCATCCCCTGCCTCGGGAAGGCTGAGCAAGGCACAGCTGTTTTATCCCCCCTGGTCCTGCCTGCCAGCCACATTTGCAGCTGGTGGGGATGTGGATCCAGGTCAGTGCCCTGTGCTGATGGGAACATCCCCATCCTGCGCTCAGCACCGACTGTAATTGCAGTGGCTGCCCCGGGCTGACCCGTCCTCGTGGCAGAGCCGGCGTCCAGCTCTGTGATTGCCCAGCCTGACCCTGACTCCCTCCTTGACACTCACCTCCAGCACTTTATTAAAGTAATAATGGGATGATGGATGGCAAGGAAGGCTCAGTGTCTCAGGAGGCTTCAAAAAGTTGCCTTTTCGTGTGCTGTTTGTCTTTGGAATGTCTTTGCAAAGGCCACACGCTCCTCACGGTGCCCCTGAGCCTCCATCCAGCATCTTGGCCCTGTAAGCCATGGTGCCACAATGGCTGTGTGCCTCAGCATCATTTTCCATGTACAGTGCCCATTGGGAAGTGGTGGGAAAGCTGAAGGATGCAGAAGAAAAGGCTGTGCCAGCAGGACTAGGGCTGTGGTGATGTTAAGCGACAGCTTCCAGCTTCACGGGCACCTGCTGTGCCAGGCACAGCTTCACCAGCTCATCCTTCACTGGAGGGGTCCCAGAGCAGGCTGGGGGATGAGCAGACACATGGGCTGGGTAGGCTAAAGGCAGCTGGAGAGAGGAGCCTGGGGAAAAACCTGTTGTTTCCAGAAGATATGATTTATGTGTCTCCACAAACAGGGACGAGATACTCCTGCTGGTGGGGACAGGCAGGAGTTCCCAGGAGGGGAATGCTGCTGGCTGTGGTGATCAGCACTTCCCAGAGACTGGCCCTGCAATGCTCTGGGATTGCCTTGTCCATGGCTGAGCCTGAAGATGGTCTCCCTGCTGTGATGGGGCTCAGAGGAACACTGTGGGGCCAGGGCTGTGGGGTCTGTGCCACGGCTGCCAAAAACCCGACCAGGAGCCCAAGTACTGCACAGGCAGAGAAGTGATGGCAGAGTCTGTCCCCAGACTGGGCCTGCCTGGGTTTCAAGCACACCCTGGGTTTGGTGGAGCTGAGGGAGAGGGAGCAGAGCCCTTCCTCACTGCCACTGCCACAGCAGTCACAGGCTGATGCTCCTGCTTTTCTCTGCTTTTAACCCATTTTTCTGGTTTGGTGCCTTCGCAGGAGCCTGTCCCTGTCCTGCAAGTGTGACCAGGGGAGGCAGAGAGTGAGGGAGATAAATATTTCAGCCTCGCCTTTAAAGGGAAGGAAATCCTTTTTGCTTAAGAGGGGGTAATGAATATTTGATGAGGAGGAAAAGAGCAGCGAGGCAGGGCTTGGAGGGCGATGAGCCTGTGGGTCTCCTGTTCCCCCAGCATCCCAGTGCACCCAGTGTTCCAGTGCCCCCAGCATCCTGGTGCACCCAGTGTTCCAGTGCACCCAGCATCCCAGTGCAGGCAGCATCCTGGTGTGGGAGGCAAGGAGGAGTGCACGGTGGATGCACAAATGAAGCACAAGAGGGACTGTGCATAAGAGAGGATGAGGATGGAGCAGGAGACCTGGGAGGACACAGGACCTCCAGCACCCGCCAGCCCTTCCAACCCAGCTCCAATCCCCCTTGGGGACAAGCCTGGTGGGCAGTGGGGCACTGAGGGCTCCTCTGGGGTGATTCCTGATCCGTGCCAAGGCTCAGCCAACGGAGCCATGTCCCTCATGCTTCCCTGGGCACCACTCAGGCAATTGGCCTATTTAAAACCACGGGTCAAAGCCGATTAAGAGGGAGCATTGGTGCTGCATCCACTGCCTTCCCCACACGGCAGCGCCGGAGCCGACGCTGGCTGAGGAAAATCAGCTTCAGGCCCCCGTCCAGCCGTGCTGTCCCCCTTTCGCAGCAAGCCTGAAGAAAGCCCCTTTAAATGGGCTTAACCACAGCTTCTCAAGTGCTCAACGCAGGGATAAAAATTAAGGCTCTAATTCTAGAAGGTAAGTACAGCAGGATCAGAGCTGGGCCACACCGAGGAGCGTGTCGGAGCCTGCGGCCAGCAGGCACGGCCCCGAAAATGCCCGTCTGGTGAAGTGCAAGCTGGTGTGAAGCTCATGAGGGATGAAACCCTGCATGTGCAGGAGGGCAGGAGCAGCCCAGGGGAGCAGAAGCACAGTGGCTTCCCAGCCTGCCTCAGGGTTCATCAGTGTTCCTGGAATTGGGGTCCAGCCCCAAAGATGAGGTGCTCTGCCCAGCCAGGGCATGGGATGGCTTTTCCTAAATCACTGAGTGCTCTCCGCCACAGCCATAGGAGCACAGAACTCGGTGGGAGTGGGGCAGGCTGGCTCAGCCAACTTTAATGCAATTAATCCAGGACTGGAGGCTTAATTAAGTTCAAATGGTCAGATACGAAGCAGCATTTTCTGGATTGCTGTCAATAAATCAAACCCGAATAAAAGGGGATAAAAGGGGATGAAACACACAGGACACAGCACACTGATGAGCAGATGGCAGAGGAAAAGGGAAAGGCTCCAAGGAGAAAAGATGTGCTGAGCCCTGGGATCTGGAGGCTCTGCAGGGGTCGGGGCAGTCAGTGCCCCCCAGATAATGTCTCTGAGAGATAAAATCTCTGGGAGACTAACAATGCCATCACAGGGATGATGCCTTGTAATGGGGTGGCTGCCCAGGAGAGCGTGGAGATCCAAGAGGGGGAAATCAACTGCTGGGTTTTACACAGCTCTGAATACACACTGTTGGTAGGAGGGCTTGGACTGGTCTGGGCCGCACGACCTGCAGGACAGACCTCAGGTCATGCTGTCCATCCATCTGTCCTTACCTCTGCTCTCATGTGCAACAGCAGACCCAGGCTGGTTGGAGGTGGGTGCAGTGTGCTCACCACTCCCAGGGGCACAGGACACCTTCCCACAGGATCATGCCACAGGGTTCTGGGGCTCTGCTCCAGAGGGAGGATCCTGTGAACTGACTCACCCACCCTGGGATCTGGCAGGTGATGATCCAGCATTTCCCTGGGGACCTCTCCCCAGCATCCCTGTATAATGGCTGAGCATCCCTGTGTAATGACTGGGCTGATGGGGTTTAATTCGTGCCTGTATGTGATCAGGTGGTGGCAGGGAGTGGTGGGCAGCACGGTGGGGAGCAGGGGGGCTGCCCGGGGTGCACAGCCTTGGAGCAGCTCCACAACTGATGCCCTGTGTGTCTCCCCAGGTGTTCCAGCGGCGGGAAGATGGCTCTGTGAACTTCTTCCGTGGCTGGGAAGCCTACCGGGATGGCTTTGGGAAGCTGACAGGAGAGCACTGGTTAGGTGCGTGGGGCTGGCAGTGCTCACTCCTGGGGGAGCTGGCAAAGCCTGGGGTCCCCTGAGGAGGTCCAGGGTTTCCTTTGCAAAGGAGGGCACACCAAGACACCCTCGGCCAGTGCCCATGTCCTGGGAGTGATGGGCTGGGCAGGCAGGGAGGGTGTCAGGGGGCTGCACAGGGCAGGGAGGCAATGGGGCTGTTTGACCCCGAGCTGAGCGTGTGCCCTTTGCCGTGCAGCCAGAGTGAGGGATGGAGGGTGGGAACCGCTCCCTGTTCCACCCCGGGCCCCCTCCCCCTGGCCCACTGGCCACCCCATCCCCAGCGGGGTCCCTGCACTCACCCCTTCCCTCTGCTGCAGGGCTGAAGCGGATCCACATGCTGACAGTCCAGGGCACCTACGAGCTCCGCATCGACCTGGAGGACTTTGACAACGGCACTGCCTTCGCCCACTACGGCAGCTTCGGGGTGGGGCTCTTCTCTGTGGACCCCGAGGAGGACGGGTACCCCATCACCGTCACCGACTACTCGGGGACGGCAGGTAAGGCAGCGGAGTGGGGGGACACACGTGGGCCCGTGGGGCAAGGGGAGCCCACAGCCACCAAACCCCCCTGCTGGGGTGTTCCAGTCTCCTCTGGCAGTGGCACTGGCTGTATCCCTGCGGCTGCAGGGAGCTGGAGGCAGTTAACAGGATTTTGCAGGAGACTCATTGCAGGAATCCCACTGTGGTGCCCAGGAGAGTCCCATGGGGCAGGGAGCTGGCCCAAGGGCAGGAAGGGCTCATCACATCTCCTTTTCCCCGGGACAGGTGACTCCCTCCTGAAGCACAATGGGATGAAGTTCACCACCAAGGACCTGGACAACGACCACTCGGAGAACAACTGCGCCGCTTTCTACCACGGTGCCTGGTGGTACCGCAACTGCCACACCTCCAACCTCAACGGGCAGTACCTCAAGGGCCACCACAGCTCCTACGCCGATGGCATCGAGTGGTCCTCCTGGACCGGCTGGCAGTACTCCCTCAAATTCACCGAGATGAAGATCCGGCCCATCCGGGAAGAGAATTAGCTGGATGGCAGGAGCCCCCCCACACTGTGCCCAGCCCCCTGCCCTTCCCCACCACCCTGCAGCCCCATCCCCCCCAGCTGCCATCCTCCCCATCCTCCCCGAGGGCTGGCCCATCTTTGAGGGGCCTCTGGGGAGCACCTGCCCCCAGTGAGGGTGACTTTATCTCCTGGGCATCCACGGACATTGCTGGACCTTTGCTTCCCACTGCCACGGCTCCGCTGCAGCCGGAATGGCTCTGTTCTGGCCAGGGCATGACCTGTGGCTGGTGCTCATGCCCCAGAGAGGGCAGTGGGATGCAGGGATTTGGGGAGCAGTGCCCAGCAGGGTCCAGCAAGGAAGAGAAGGGGCTGCCTGGAGGTAGGGAGTAGCCCAGGTAGGCTGAGCACCTCTGATCACCTCTGCTCCGGGCACAGACTCCAGGCAGTGGCCTCACCAAGTGACTGGGGGCACTTGCCACAGGGAGCCCCAAGACCCCCAGAATCCCCCAGACTGGGACAAGGCTGCTCCACAGTTCCAGCTCCCCCCATGGTGCTACTAGTGATGGGGAGGGCTCAGCTGGGTCAGCCTGACCGTGCCAGTGATTCTTTCTCTGGACTACAGAACATTCGCCTCTGCCCCTGGAAGAGCAGCACAGCTGGGAAGGGACGACTACCAGCTCCTTAGTCCCTGTTGTCCCTGTCCTGCCTCCTGGAGCCTCCCCATGGGTCAGAACACCCCAAAGCAAGCTGATGCAGTGCTGCAAGGACGTCCACCCAGAACTGAGCATGGCATGGAGCTGTTTTGGCAGCACTGGAGAAATGGGGAGCACAGCAAGTAGGAGGAGGAGGCGAGGAAGGTTCACTTCCCAGCACAGCTCTGCCTGCATTTCGCAGCTCCTCCCTCCCAACCAGACTCACTCAGATTCATGTCGGCCATCCAACAGCTGTGACCTTTCCCCAAACCCTTGGCTTTGGGCAGCACAGACACATCCCCCACGTGAACCCCCTCTGCTCACTGCCGGCCCGGGGACCCGCGTTCATTTTCACCCCGGCTGAGCCGTGCGCTGGCACGGCACCTGCAGATATCCAAAGCCTTTCATTTCCTCAAATCCCGTTAAGGTTTTGCAAAAAGAAGCCCCGAGTGGGGCTTAGCATCTGCAGGGCCCTGATAACTGGGCAGCAGTGGTGCCACGCACCAGCCAACCCAAGCAGGAGCTGCTGTGGGGTGCGGGACTGATGTCTCCTGCTGGCTCCCTGGAAGGACTCAAATGGGGGATTTTGTCCAAAAGAAAACTAGAACCAAATGTGAGAAGGCTCTGAAGCAGGAAGGGAAGGAGACAGCAGGGACCCAGTCACCCTGTCCATCATTTTCTGCCTGTGCTACAGCAGCGGTGGGGAGCAGAGCCCTGGCCCCCCAAGACACTGTTGGACAGATGGATGGACCGAGGAGGGGAGGAAAACTCCCAGTGTCCCCATTTCCAGGGGGGCTTAAGGCATGGGGAGATCAAAGGCTCAGCTTCCCAGCTGCGCCAGGTTTGTACTGCCCTCTGTGATTCTTCTTTTTTTAAGCCTTCCCACCTCGGATCCTGTGCTGGACAAGCCCGTTCACCTGCTGGGTGAGTCCCTGTCTGTCTGTTTTGCGAGGAAAACAAGGACAAACAATGTATTGGGATTGCTTTTCCTGTTCCAGAGACATTCCTCAGAGCCCTCGGGTGAGGATGAGCTCTGAGTGCAGGCACCAGCTCTACCTACTCCAACCCTGCCCAGAGCAGCTGGTCAGGCTTTCTGGAACGATGGAATTTGGGGAGCTCAGCAGTGGCATTTCCCACTTCAAAAGCAGGAGCCCTGACAGCTTCCCAGGGCCTTCCTGTGCCCCACTGGACCTCTCTAGAAAGGGTCCCGCCTGCACCCATCTTTACTTCTCGTTCATTTATTTTGTGGAGTAGCTGTAGCTGTGTTTTCTAGCACTTGCCTTTGGGCCAGGAAGGCACATGGAGCCATGTGCCGGGTGGGAAGGCCCTCCCCTCCCCAGACCCCTCCACTGGTGTTTTGCCACGCCGGGGAGGGGACACTGTACGTCGGTTTGTCGGTAGCACATCCTTGAGTAACTGCCTGTGTCATCCGGGACCCCCCAATGACTTTGTTTTGACTTGCACGAGAGGTATTTAATCCATGCCAAGACGCAGGATTGCCCAGGATTATTCCCAAGAGCGCACACATTGCTCCATGGCCCTGGATTAGGTTAAACCCGTCCGCGGTGACACCTCCCCGGAGAGGGGAGGGCAGGGGCGACTGGGGGTCCGGGATGTGGCCACGTACCTTCCCGGCGAAGCCCTGAGCCAGGTCGTGGTGTGTAGCAGTGCCGTGAAGTCTCTCTAGGTCGTGTGTGAGTGTGTCCAACGCTGTACATGTGGACTTTCTAAACTCCTTAATAAAAGGATCTCATCGTTAGCCAGCGGCTCGGCGGCCGTGCCCGCGGCGCTGCGTGGGGGCATCGCCGGAGGGACCTGCCATGGTGATGGCAAAGGGAGTGACACTGGATCGCTGCAGCCCCTGCTGTGCTGTGGGGACAGCTCTTTCCCTGTGCCAGGCTCGTGGCATGGAATCCCCGGGAACTCGATCACTGAGCCAAAACCACTCTACAAAACAAGGGCTGGGGAGAACCGGGGGGCAGTGGAGGCTTCCCAGAGCTCCAGCCCAAACCGAGGCACCGTGGGACCTCAGGGTGGCCCTGGGGCTGGGGCTGGGAGGGTGGCAGGTCTCAGAGCCAAGGGAACCCTCTCCCTGCTCTGACAGGCAGAGCACCAAGCGATGCCCTCAGCCCCTTCCCTCTGAGCTGCTCCCCCCACGTCCCATTCTGTCACAGGCCAGGACAGACGCGGAGGGGACAGCAGGGTCCCAGGCACTGGGGACCGCATTTCAGCACTGGTGGCTGCATGCATTGACCAGTGAGGGTGGGAGCACTTGGGCTTATGCATGAGGGGCCAGTCCCTGGGGGAATTTGGGGGTGCAGGAGTCTCCCTTGGTGCCTGCGTACCCACCACACTTACACGTATGTCTGGGACCCCCAAGATCTGCACACAAAGACACACCAGCCAAACGGGGGGGACACACTTGTGCCCCCAGACAAGACCCTCCCTCTCAGCAGCATCCCCAGCTGCCAGGGGCTCAAGGCCAGCTCCCAGCCACCGCTCCAAACAAGGCAGCAAATGAAGGCGGCGCGTTAATGAGCGGTGTTGCCGTACTCACATTGTGGCAGCTCCACCAACCCCTGTCCCCCCCATCCCCCTCTCCAGCCCCCTCCCCGAGATTCCCACCCTCTGCTCTCTTTGGCCACACGTTCAAGAGGTGACACAGCAATTAGACCTGGCGGGTATTTAATGGCCCAAGGCGGGCTGGCTGCTCATCTGGGCACAGGGCAGCACGGAGCAGGGCCAGGGCCAGCAGCGCTGGGCAGCACCAGGGCAGAGAGGTGAGTGGCTGGCATATGTCTGTCTGACTATCTGTCTGTCTGTCTGTCTGTCTGTCTACCCCCACATACCTGCTTCACACCCGCAGCCAGTGAGGAGGCAAAGGAGCCAGTGGGAGCCAGTGAGAGGCAGGCGGGGACCCACCGGCACCCCCAGACCCCGGGAAGGGACTCAGCACCTCTTCTCCGGCTGCACCCAGCGATTTGGCTCCACGATGGGCAACTGGGTGGAAAAAGAGAGAGCAAAATGACAGCAAGGTGTGAAAGAGGCAGGAAGCACCCAGAAGTGAAGCCCCTGGGCTGAGGGGTGCTGGGTAGGGCATGCAGGGGCTTTGGTGCAGCTGGGTCTGGTGTAGGAGTCAGGAGCACCCACCTGCAGCAGCCCCCACCCTGCAAGCACGAGGAAGAAACCCTGGCCCCCAGAAGCTGCAGTGACTTTTACGGCAACATCTCCAGCAAATAATAAATATAATAATAATTAATAATAATAATAATACCACCATTTCCCCTTCCTGAGCCATTGTGGGAGGCACCACTGCACATGACCCAGGACTGCACTCACTCCCACTCTGCTCAGACCCCACTACCAGGGCACCTTCAACCCCCATAAAGCAGAGGGATGTCGAGCACCTTCCTCTGCACCTGTGTCATCCAGGCACTGCGGGCAGGACTTACTCGTGGGAACAATCAGGGTGATGCACAAAGTCCTCCCGAGGTGCCTCCAAGAGGAGCGGGCAGCTCTGGAGCCCTTCGCCCTGCCCGGCTCTCAGCCCCCCACCCCAGCAGAGCCCGGCTGGCTCCCGGCTGCGAACCAGGGGAGTCGCTGCAAGGCTGGGATTTGTGAGCACGGAGCTGCTGCTGCTGAAGGGCAGCAGGTCTGAAGGAAGCGTGGGGAGAGCTCAGACTCCCCCAGCACCCGCACTGGGTGCTGGTGTGGAGGCTGCAGAAGAAGCAGTGGGTGCTTAGTGTGGGGTGAAGTTCTAGCAGGGCCAGCGGGGCTGGTTTGGGGGTGCTGCAGCAGGGGTGAGGAACTGAGGGCCGAGGGCAATCCCGTGCTGCTGCCTCAGCCGCCGCCCGAGGATGCTCGGCGGTTTACTGACCTGCCTTTCCCTCCCTGTGCTTCCCCCAGATGAGAGCACCCTACTCGCTGTCCTGCCTCTTCCTCCTGAGCCTGGGGACCTGCTTCCCTCCCAGCGAGCGGCGGGAGCCGGGACGCCCCGGGGAGGGGACCCTGCTCGGTCCCAGGTGGCAACCAGCGGCGGAGGACCCGGGCGCCGGCTGGAGGGCAGGGGCCAAGCGGAGGCGAAGCGAGGAGCTGGACGCGCTGCTGGGCATCGCCCGGGAGCTGCGGGGCTACGGCTCGGCGGGGGCCGGGCAGCGGCCGGGCAGGCGGGGGGGCTCCGAGGTGCTGCCCGCCGCGGGGGAGAAGCGCAGCGGCAGCCTGGGCAACCTGGCCGAGGAGCTCAGCGGCTACAACAGGAAAAAAGGGGGCTTCACCTTCCGCTTCGGGAGATGAGGGCTTGGACTTGATACCCCCCACCCTCCTGCGGGTCACCCCGTCCCGTCCTTCCCTTCCATCTCGCCTGGGTTTGCTCGGACAAAAGGGTATTGGGGGTTTTTTGCTGCTGGGATTGCCTTGGGGATGGGGGACACCGCGTTTGCTCCGCTCACAGCCCTGCTCTAGGTCTCATGTCCCTGTTCCCAACCAGTGCAACAGAAGAAGAGGAGGGTGCCTTAAAAAGAAGCCCCTACATCCCTTTCCTGATCACAGACAGTTTTGCAGGGGCACAAGGAAAGGGCCGAGCACTGGGTCTCCAGTGCTGCAGGGATGGCAGAGAGCAGGGATGGCACACGGGGACAGGTAGAGCAGGGGTGGCACACTGGGACAGGCAGTGCCAGTAAGGCCAGGCAGCAAGGCTGGAGGGTTACAGTGGGATAATCTTGGTGGTGACAGTCCCCAGGGACTGCCTGTAGCTGCCATCCAGGGCCGGCTGTTAGGGAGGAGAGGGTCCTTCAGAGCTCTCTGCCGAGTTGCTGCTCTCCTGCCTATTAAGGAAAAGTCCCTCCGGCAGCAAATTCTGCTTAGTGTCAAGATGCCGCTCACACGAGGCAGCTCCTGCGTGCAAAAACCAGGGCAGAGCAGCGGGGTTTGAGAAAATCTTGTCTCTAGCAATCCCTGACATGAGCATGGAAACCTGCCCTGGCATCACTAGTCCTGCCACAGCCCCAACACCCCTTTCACTCCCTGGCCCCCAGAGTCAGTCCTCACCAGGGTGAGGTGGTGATGATCAACCTTTTGTATCCTTGTCACACCACCCCAGCACCTGCCTGGAAGCCTGGCCCTTCCCAAATCCTTCCTGGCCTCATCCCCACCTATTCCCGGCTGTAGAATTTGGGTGCAGAAGGGTTGAAACAAGGACTTCTGCACCTACCTGGGGCCACTGAGGACTTCTCAGTGTCTCCCTGCTCTCCAGTCCCCAGTGGTGCAGCTTTGGGAATCACCAGCCCCGAAAGCCAGCGCAGCCACAGCGGTGCAAGACAAACCCCACTGCCCAGACACTGCCTTCCCCTCCTTTGGGCAGACTGAGCTCTGCCAACGTCGGCATTTGCTCTGTGCCTGCCAGAGGTACCAGCAATCAGAGCTCTAACTACCTGCTGCAGGCACTAACAGCAACTTACACACTGAGCGACTGCTGATATTTCATTGCAGGCACAAAAATGAGCTGGGAGATGATTTGCAAGCGCTAAATTGCACCCTCAAAAATCAGAGACCGTGGCAGGACTTGGTTGGGGGAGTAAAAAGATTAAAAAAAAACCCTAAATCAGGCTGCAAGAGGTGCATTGTAATATCCATCAAGCAGACAGACCACTTAATGCAGTGCTGTGTGAGTTGCTCTGGCAGCAGGAGCAGTAACTAAAGGCTGGATGGAGGAGCTGGAACCCCTGGGAAAACATCAGCCATGGGGTTCAAGAAGGAGTGATGGAGACACTGGACCAGGCTCATCTAGGGAGGGTGCAGAACGGGAGAGACTCCAGGTTTGCAGGGGCACAGAGGATGCCAGGGTTTGGTCCTCACATGGGGACACCACCAGCTGCGAAGGCGAGGAAGGGCATTTCCTTCCCCTGCATCCCTGCTGCCAGGACCATCTCACACTGCGGGGACCACAGCAGAGACCAACAGCACTCAGGATGGCTGAGCCCACACAGCCCCCCACCCCAGGCACCCCCAAACCCACCTCCATCCCTCTCGATTCCGCCCCACCACAGGCCCTGGTCTGGATCGGGACGCAGGCGCCGCGCTCGCATCCCTCAGTGGAGACGGGAGCTTTATTGATGTTTCTATGGCAACTACTCTTTTTTTCCCCCCCTTTCTTTTGAGTGTTCAAACCATCAATAAATACGCACTGATCAATTTTACCCTGCACTGGAGTCGGGGGAGGGATGGGGAGGGAAGAAGGGGAAAGAGTTTTGGAGCAACTCTGGGTTAGTGAGGGCTGGTAAATCCCTGGCTTTGCTGTGATGGATCATTGCAGGGAAAAGTGGCATTGGCTGCTGCGGAAAGGGAAAGGAAAACTGCTGGGCAATGCTGTGGCCACAGGGATGCCTGAGCTACTGCTCTCAAGAGCAGGAGAGGAACAGGCTCAGAGCAGCACGATAAAAGCACACGTATAACGAGGCTGATTGATGTCCAATAACCTCTGTAGAACTCACTGAAAAGTGAAGCACTTACCTGGCAGGTGGGACAGAGCTTGGCTCAGCCCCTGCACCCCAGGGCTCCTTGATGGTCAGCTTGGTGCCACAGGGGTGATGCCATGCCCCTCCTCACCCTCTGGCAGGAAAGGGGTTCCCGTCAGGCTGAGATGTGGGGCAGGTGAGGGGCTGTGGCACCCCTGGAGCTCACCTTGGCACACACCTTAGGGTGGCTGGTGTGCTTGGGAAGAGGCAGCATTCCAGGCTCTTCATTATTGCTCCTTGGTGATTA